ATTATTTGGATTTACGCGTAAATTATACTGATGTATTAAAATTAGTCTATATCGAAATTATTCTGTTAAACAAGCACGAATATCGAGAAATCCTTACCCGATATCGAAAATGCTAATTGCTATTTTTATACTCTATACATCACGATCTTCGTATTTATCGCAATCAGCTGTGAAAATAGCTATAAAGATAGATTATCGTTCGGAAGCATACTAAGCGTAGCAAACCGACTAGTTTCCACATTTTTGTATCGATTATCGGAGCGTTCTGCTAATTTGCTTTCATTTAATTTGTCCTCAATTGATAGTCTCCGTTTTGCGTGATATATCGAACCCAAGGCAAAGCTTGGTACCCACTCTTTTCGATAATTTTTAAATAACGCACTTGTATGCCTGATGTAGTAAAGTAAGGAATTTCAAATTTTACTTGGATCGGCGGTTTACCTTCCACATCTTCTCCGATCACGGATGGTAAACCAAAATGTGCCCTCATCAAATATTCTTTTCCTCCAGGAAATGACTTGATAAACCAAGTTATGGCGCTCTGTTCCGGAGAATACTTAACACTCCCAATAGTGGTTTTGAATTTGGGAGAATCTGCGTCGTTTGGTACTGGTATTACTATTTCTACGTTGTTGGCCGTAGAGCGCCTTTTAAATTGTGACCTTGCTTTTATCATGTACTCTACTCTGCTGTGAGCATGTCGCTCTATTACGGATTCTATCCATATCAGTGGTTTTACGTGTGTGTTCAGTCTATAAGACATTAGCTCAAATTCACCATCAGGTGGAATGAAAGAAATCGTTCTATCGTTTTCAAATCGAGACAATCGGACGCACTGGTGAAATTTAACGTCCTCTAATTCAACAGATTTAGACTTTCCACGTCCTGTAGATTCAAACAAGACTTTATCATTCAGACCGAGTCTCAATTCTGGCATTCCAGATAAATAAACTCTCATTTTAATGGCACCCACAATTTCAGAACTCAATACATTTCCATTGGCATTTGCAAGAAGATTCACAGATTCTATTACATCTAGGAACACCTCGTTCTTACGGTATTTTATCCCTTCTGATCTCCAAGATACAGCATTAGTCACAGCCATAGGAATGCGTGGTTGAATTTCAAGTTTATGACCCTCTTGGGTGATATACTCTTGCAAAATCTTACTATCCGTAGTTTGAGGATAACCAAAATCTATCAACTCGTCTAACAGTTCGTAAATGACGACAAAATTGTCTCTTATACTTTCCTCCTCCAATTCCTTAAAGTATTCTTGCATGACTTGAACTAGTTTATGCAAGAATACAAATACCAACGAAATGTTTGCATTCTTTTTTGTAGTTGAAACAATGTAAAGATTATTGTACTTTATATAAGCATATGTACATTCAAGAGTTTGAATTATCGGAGTAAGATTGCCCTCCTCCTCACGCTCCATTACAAGAGGCATAAATTTTTCAATAAGACCTGTCTCTATATCTCCTCTATAGTTTCGAGAAATCAACACCTTTCCCTTCACATCTAAAATATATATAGCAGATGTCGACATCTTGAAAATGTGTCAAACTGTAACGAAAAAAAAACATTTTGCATCTCTGTTTGAAACGGAAATCAAAATAGATTCGATGCAACGAAAACCATGTGCCAAAAGGAGGACAAAGCTATTCGACAGACTAGCCTCTACGAATCGATAAAGCCTGATAGAGGTTATGTTGTTAGGAGAAGAGTACAAAAGTGAAAATACGAAGTGGAAAGAAGAAAGTATGACGTATGAAACTCGACAACGTGAAAGCAGGGTACAGAAATATAAATGAACGCAAAATACGCATTAATAAACGACATAATTTGACATCAAAGTGTACGTCTAGATGCCCGAACGTACTTTGGCGATAAAATTGGTTGTATATCGAAGTACTTACATGTCCTTCCAATTCCTCGAGGAACGCTGGTTCTTCAGTTATTCACATCGAACTAAATTTAATTTTGGTAAAAACACACAGATGAGTTTATTGACAAAAAGGCCCTCCCCTCCCAGCTGTCCGACTGCCACTGTGGACTGCACTGAAGTTGCTTCGCGGCAACCGCAATCGAAGCGCATGCGTTGCCAACTTCGCGTTGAATATCGACCCGCCTCTATTCGCCTCATTCGAACGGTTTTAGCTGGCAATATTTAGTAGCAGGCATTTTTTTAAATGTTACAACTGAACATTAGCCTGACTTTATGGCGGCAATAAAAAGGATAATTTAATGATCATATCCAGGAAGGAAACAACCGAATTGGCGAATTGTAAAATTCGGTGTACATTTATTCTAATAAAACTATACAAAAATTTCTCGCGATTAATGTCTTTGATGAATTACTTATTTTGCAAACTGATATTACAAATGTTCAATGAATTCAAAGATACACGTATTAATTGCATCTCGAAGAATGATGCTCTAAAGGTAGCATATGTTACCACCTTGCAAACTTCTATACTTTTTTAATGCGATGTACCATTGGAAAAAAGAATCCTGTGTATATGGTAATGTGGCATTTTTGGAGGTAGTGGAGATACGTTACGTAGCCGCACAATGATCATCGGTGTTACGTAATAAAAGTATAGTACACCGAAGTAGGCAATTGTACCACACAAAAGCGCATCCATAGACGCGCTCCGTGTAACGCACCGCCCCTACAAAGTCTATAAAAGAACCAGGGGTGATTGAACCTCGTTTGATTGCACGCTTCGGAAGGAGAACAGAAAAGAGAAGGCGGTGTAAAAGTGGTGGCTGTCAGCTGTCACGTTCTCACTGGCGGAAGCTGTGTACGGTTATCGGAGCGTTTCGATTTTAATTAAAACGTAATTTACGATGCTGTTCGGCTACGGTATAAAATTGAAAGAGAAGGAAACTAACGTCAACCGATCTTTCTGATCCTTTGGAATTTCGTATCTTTTAAATATCTTTACTTAAACTTCTTTTCTATATTAGAAAATTTCTTTCTACGCACTAATCATCAACTTCGTGATCGTTTATCTTGCCAAATCTCAGCTACTCGCGAGGGATGTATTTAGATTTACCCTAGTCGCTGTCGACTCGTCCCGAATCGTGACACACTATTTGCGCAAAATTCCGTGAGAAATTCCATCGTAATTGAACGATGCTGGCTCGATTATAAAGTCAAATCATCGATGGGAGTAGGAGTTCTTCCGCCACCGGGGAATGCATTTTCTGTCCCGCAACTTTTTCCCACCTTCCGCCAGAGATTGGCGAAACTTCATTCGAATAATAAACGGCGAATAAAAACAACGTATAACGATTCCTTTTTCGAAGTTTTAATTTAGACGAGTTTACTAGTCTCTGCCGTTCCCTTATTCGTCGTAAATATCACGTTCCGTAGCTTTCGGTGATACCATCAAACCAATTTCGAATTTTCAACGTTTCAGTTTCATCATTTCTCTTCTTTCTTTGTTTCCATTCGGAACCCTCTTGCGTCGTTGTGTTTCTTTCGATTCTCCGTTTTATTCCCCGATGAGCGATATAGCCGCGCAGGCACAGAGCAATCCTCCCAGTTCTCGGTCTGTCGGTCCGTTTTGCGGATGAAACGTCAATCCGAAGATAAAGTGGCGAAATACAGGAGCGAGGGGCGCTAGAATCGCGAATGTATTACGCGTTTGTCGGTCGAATTGACCCCTGTTTGGGGATCCGCGCGCGGAGGGCTGAAAGTTAGAGCCGTCTAGGGAATCCGACGCGACCGATAATTGAGATTCGAAATTAAATTAGCGGAACTTGGATTCCTCGACGGAGGAAGGGAACATCCCCCGTGTGACTTAGTTATAAACGCGTTGACCTGCGTCGATGTTTTGCCCCTGTCTAATCGCAGGTCGAAATGCTTTCTCTCTCGAAGGGAGCGTCGAAGGAATCTAGCGTAAAAGTTCATTTAAACGAAAACTAGCACATTTCAGAGTAATCAATTTTAAACTACTCGTTTCTTAGAGTAAGTCTCGTACCTTTACCTTTGAGTTTCGAACATTGAAATTCAACTAATTACAGATACCGCGAATAGTTATGCACGGGGTAGGCACATTTCATACTAACAATAAGTAACGCTGTCGAATCACGCAACACTTTTTATCGCGAAACAGCACCTGAAAGTTCGTGAAACTTTCGCGAAGTTTAACGATAATCCATTAACGATAAAGTTGACAAATCGTTTCGTTAGCGATATGAGTAACGGTTTCGAATCGTGTTCCCGTGCTTTCATTCATTCTCCCTTTAAACGTAAATCTAACCCCAATCGGTACGCTCTTATCTGAAACTTTCAGCGAGCACGCGAGCAACGCAAAGTCGAGAGAGCATACTTAAAAATTTGACGTTCGTTCTAATTGCATTTCACTCTTATCGAGCATATCACGAATAACTCAAACAAAATTTTAAATCATAATTCAGAAATGGAGGAGTTGAATTTGTCGAGTTCTAAACCCATTAATTCAGTTTGATACGTGGTTTGAATTAAGCGTCACGGAATTACGAAGGGTTAAAGATTTATCCTTGCTGTGCTCCTCGCGACGGTGACGCGCGTACTTAACACCTTTAAAAAATACTATCAAACGAAGCAGAGTCGCTATCCCAATGGCGAACGTCCGCATCATGAGAAGCAGAGGTTCCCGAGAATCAGAGCGCGGAGCGCATTACCCTGGATCCCAAATCGTTAGGGGGAGTAAAAAAGTAAACGGAGAAAGGAGTGGGAGAAACACTGCGGGGGATGTATCGCCGTTGGTTTAGACGTTAGGGGTAGTAGGTGGTCGAAGCAGGAACGGCAGGCGCGAGGCACTGATTGCTCCCGAGGAAACTTGGCTTCCCCGCGGGGTATACCTCTGATCAGCCATCCCTTCTCTCAGCTCCTCTTTTCGCCTCCGCTGTTATCTCCGCCTTGTTGTTCCACCGTTCGTCCCGTGCCACCCTGTTCGCCACCAATACACGATGGTCTCACGCTCGGCTTCTCTTGGTTTCAGACGAAGGAAGAAATAGCTGCGTCGGCTTCGCCAAGAACAGGCCACCGTTGCGGATCGGTAAAATTCTGTTGGAAACAGAACGGTTTTCAGCGTCGTCCGTGTTTTGTCATTCACGAGATGTTTTGAGTGGAATTGAACTTGCGCCCCGATAGAGAACGGCAGTACCGAATAAGAGTTGAGAAGCCAGAGTGGCGACGGGGAAGTACGGTGGCATCGTTTTGCATAACGAGGTTACCAAGTGATTCGTCGGCGACGCCTTGGATTGCCTACGGAATAAGGAAGCCGTTTCTGCCCCCCGATTGGAAATACTTTTCCATCCCTTCCGGTGATGGGCACGCCTAAGGTACACCCAAGTGCAATCTTCCGTTGTTACGAGGCGCGTGGAACCTTTGGCGCGCGAACGAGTCGAACAACATGACTTCGAGCTCCTTATCGTATACTCGTTCGAAGCAACGGAGAATTGGAACGAGTTTCCAGTATAGCCTTATCGCGGAAGCTCAGCTCTCTACAAAGCGTTCATGTTAAAACGAGGATAACATTTGCAAAAACATTTATTTAGCACAACGTTTCGACCATAGATTTGTGATCCGTCGTAGAGGTATTCCAAACAGCGTATCACGCACGCGTGACAACAAATGGTATACGGCTCGTATTTTATTTGTTTACACGAACGTGAAATAAAAAATCATCACTGTCACGCTTCTCTCGCGAGAACCGACACGTGACACATGCATGACGCGTGAAAGCCACCGTGTCGAAGAAACAAAGTGTAACAAAAATTTAAAGGATGATTTTGAATTGCAGCGCTACTCGCGACGATCTCGAGGCTGATCTTCGGCTGTGGCTAAAGTCGCCTTCCACGGTTATGCTGGTGGCGTCGCTTCGGGTGGCCGCCAGCAAATGCTGTCATGCTGTTGCCATGCCAGCCGGCGGCCAGGAAGAGGCCGCTGGCCACAAGGTCCTTGAGCAGATCAACGACGGATTGCCTCGTCCTCATAGCTCTCTTCGTCCTGATCGGTTGCGAAGGATCGCGTGGAGGCTCGCAGATCCGTTACGCTTCGCGCAACGTGGAGACTAAGAGTGGTCAGATACGAGGGATTCTTCAGGTACGTAAAAGTTTGAATCAAAATATTTCAACCAAGAGTCTCGCGAACCGGTAATCTATAGAAACTGTTTTCTAACACTGTGTTACGACATAAAAAATTAGTCCATTTACTGCCTCAAAAACGTAGAACACCTCCAAAGAAAGAAGTATAGGCGACAAGCATCCATCGTACACTCGGGTTACTTTGCATACTGAATGCATAATGCGTGCATGTACAGAATATCAAAGGCTCCGCGAGGAGGAGCAGATTGTGTCATGGGAACAGGATCAAGCAGCGAATAAAATTCGCATGCTAAAGCGTTAAATCCTGCGAGAGAGCGATATGGAAACGTACAACATGTAACGTACAACGCGGGGAAATTGACTGTACTTTAAGCATAGAACAAGTGTTCGATGGAATAAATAATTCTTGATAAGTGCCGTTATGTTACACTCGAAAATCTCTTGCCAAGGTATTCATGGAATATTTGAGTATATCGATTTCTGCCGTTTTAGCGCGGGGTCGGGGAGAGGACACTATGGAACGAAATGGTTGCTAGGTACGGTCTGAGTATCCGATACATTGAAAATATGTATGTATGTATATATGAATCCCAAAATTCGAGAGAACGGATATCCAACAAATTTCCTCTATTTTCGTTCGAACGTGTAATAGTGGCCAATCGATCGCTATTTTTTTTAGCAAATTCGTGGAATTTTTTATTCAATGCAGGGATCATGTCACCAGAGATATACTGTCCTTCGATTTTATTTCGATATCAGGATTTCGAATATCGTCAGCTCTTCGTTACGTAGCACGGAAGGTACGTTTAGAAATCGACTTATAGAGAAACGATACAAAAGGATGATGTTCGAACAAATAAAAGGGCATAAATTTTAAACGCTTAAATCATAAATTCGCGCGTCGAATATCGACGCCGATAAATCATGGCAACCGTTTAGAAACGAAATATTCGCGTCACACTTTCGCTATGTCGATCAGTCGTCACCGAACATGAAGCCGATCTGACGTTTACTACGACAAACGTTACGGCAGCCGACAGGCATTGCGTTCGGTGTATACATATTTTCAATTCGACGCCTGCATGGGATCGATGAATGCCGAATGATTCTGTAAGAGATCCGGTATCGCCACGAAAATGAAACGATCATCGTCCTTGCTAAAGCGTTGACGATTTATCGAGCACCTTTTCTTTTATATTTCAAACCAAAAAATATCCTATTCTAGAATGAATATAGAGAAGCTCCCACTGTAGTTGGACGATATATGATCATTTTTCGGAAATTTAAAAACAAAAGGAGCGAAGAGGAAAAGCAAAGCCCACGAACACACGTGCGAAAAGATGAACGCGCGGTCGTTTTCGGTGAATTGCGGATCAGTAATTCACCGAGCGTTTTTAGCCTCGCTGGTCCCCTACCCTAGGCGGATGGATGGATAACGAGAAAAGTTTTTCGCCTGGGACGTCCGGTGGCCTTTACATTACGTCGTAACGCGGCGCAACTCGTGCCGGTCGTTTCTCGTTCGCCTCGGTTCGGTCCATTTCGCGCGATCGACTGCTATATACGGTTCCACAGAGGAGAACGTTGTTGTGTCAATCGTTTCGCTACGTCGCTCGACGCTCAAACCGATGCGCAAACAAAGATTGTATACGGGATGAACAAAAAGATAGGAAAATAAAATACCATTCGCGACAGTCACGGTTCAATTCCATACGAGTCGATCGGTTGAGTTTTCTTTAAAGATTTTCAACAAGCAAGTACGGTACCGATAAATATAACACCCCAACGATACGTCTGTGAAAATCTGAAAAACTCATTTTTTTTACGCCCTGTACATACCACAATACGTAAACACAAACGCAGTTCATTCTCTCCCAGTTGTTAACGCGTTCGTCGGTGAGCTTGTTTCGCGCATCTGTTCCAACTCCGTGTGATTGTCATCGTTAGGAAAAACGGCAGCGCGAATTAACGGACGATTACGTTGAATCGCAGCAAGTTCTCGCGCGCGATGCTGTGAATTTCGTGTTGGACTTGGAAACATTTCCAAATTTCTACGAAGTTGCGTACGAGCTCGCGCAATTCGAGAGTTGAAAAGTTTACCTATGCTACCGCGGTTTCGAGTTCGTGGGGTAAGCTCGTCGTGTCCAAAGTTCGAGGGATCGATGACTAGACGAATTCGATTTGATGTCTTCGATTAAATAACTAATGCAAATATTATTTTACTTCTTCGTTTATTGTTCGAATATTCAGTTTCAAAACTCGAGTAAATTACCAACGGAAAATGGTGGTTTCCCTGTAGAGAAGCGTCGACGTTTCTTTCGTTTAGCAACTTTGCACATTTGTCTGTTGCAGCTTCGAAGCTTCGATCCAGCAGTCGTTCGTTGACAGCTACGGGAACAAACTCGTTAGGTTTTTCCACCGTCTCTGCGACCCTCGTTTAAATACTTCCTTCTCTTCTCTCCAATTTATTGTATGGCGGAGGACGGGTCGAGCAATTTTTTCCGAAGCTCGAACGCTTCGCTTCTCTCCCACGGAGCTAAAAGTTCTCCGTGTCCTGGCGATAATGAGAATTACGATCACGTCTGTACGCGACTGATTTTCGGGCCAGAATTGGCGCTCTGAAAGGGATTATAATGACTCCCGTGTTACGTAGTCTCCTCACGTATCGTGTGGCTCACATCTTCTCTTTCATGCTGACCGGAGAGGTGAAAAATGTAATAACCAAGTTCTTAATACCTGGCTCGACGACGGAATATGTAAAAACGTATTGTCTAATTAGATTATAACTTCTTAACGAAAGTATTACATCTGCTTGGAATCAGACGTTTTATTGAAGTGAGGTTTTAATAAATTTTAATTCTACATGAAAAAGTGACAAAAAATTGTAAAATGAGATTATTTCGCGCGAAACTTGCTCGTCGAAAAAATCGCTTTGCGAAACACTCGCGCGTTTTGGAAATTTCATTACGCACTGCGATATTAAATATCAATACAATACCATATGGATATAATACATACTTACACGTATCGCATCGACATACGTCTACAGCAAAATTCATTAAATTTTAGTGTGTCCATTTTTGATGTCTTTATGCGCGTAGAAGCTTTTCCTTTTGACTACGAAGCCTACCTTGGATGGTTCTACCGTCAGAACCGGAAGAGGTTCGTTAAACGTGTTTTAGTTTACCAGCAGCTTGTAGGGTATAACCATCGAAGCATAATCGTTGGAAGCCGTACGATAGCCGGTAGCTGGAAAGCTCATAACCAGGGGCAAATTTTTACATAACTCAAGCCTAACTGGGCTCTTTCATCTCGCGATCGCGTTATCTCGATCACAGGATAATTACGGTTACGTTGGTCCTGCGCTCAAACATCCCCCGTGTATGCGCTCTTCGTACCAATCTGGCAATAATAATGGCGAGGTCGGTAACGCTGCCATAATTAGGGAACGATGACATTACGCGGGCCTCGAACGATGAACATTCTATACACTCTGCCGATCACGCGTTACCGAGGCACGGCCAACAATGGCCAGTGCAATAAAATGTTTAGCAGTTTACATGACAATTGTACGCAACACGATGAATCGGTCGGCAGGTGCCGCCAGTTGGGAGATTTTACGGCCAATAAACGCGGCCGGAAATGAAAATGTCCGTGAATTTTCAAACGCGCGACGATTCGAGGTGTTCTTTCGCGATGGGAGATGCGGTGCCACCTCGTGTGTACGTTTTTATCGCGGCTCCGGGGACAAATCGGCATTGTTGGCCGAATAATGGCGGCACGGAATAGGAATCCGGAGCAGTTCGTTCTTTCAGGCGCTCCTCGCGAAAGAATTATATGCCCGAGAACCGTGCATGCCGTACGATACGTATATCAAAACACCGAAGCTTGTGTTTGATGCTACCTCTGCTACTAAAAAACATTGCGTTCTCTCCTTTATCAAATAAATTTATCGCGAAAACGTTATTTAACAGCCAAGCCTCGAAATATCAAACGACTTCGAAACCTCAAGATCGAGAAGCCAGTTTGCAAATTTTGGTGGTTCGTTCGAAACACGAATTTGCGAGCGGATGAAACGTCTGAAACATTTTCGAAGAACAGTGTAATTTCACGGTATGGTGTGCGTACGATCCTTATTTCACGGAAGCATTAGCGGAAAATTGCTCGCGTGAACCGGCGTTGTAGAATGCAGCTCGTTTCCTCCATAAACGGAGTACCAGCATCAAGGATTTTCTAGTCGATCTATTTATTGCCATGGCCTAGATCTGCTCTTTAATTCTTAAGCACGGCCAGTCGAGCGTTCACGCGTCGATAAATGCATTATGCAGTCCGAGTCGCAGCACGGTGCTCGCCTTTTTGCTGCGTTAATGTTAGCTGCCAGCATTTTTTCAGTGAAATATTTTGTCGGGATCATTGCAAATATTTGCGAACCGCCGCGCCGTTCTCGAAACTGCGAGCTCGCGTTAGAGAACGTATTTAAACAAATTATTTTAATGCTTCTGCGGTTCGCTCGCGTGTCATTTTTTTTTTTTTTTTAATCAAATTGGCATACTTTGATCGATCGACTGTCTCGTATTTTTAGAAGAATTTTTGTATAAAATTCTCGTTTGGGCCATCGAAGAATGATTTCGTTTATCTCCCGTCCGAGAAAGTCCTCGGCGTGCCTGACCAAAGGTAATCTGCTACTACTGATTCTCCGTCTCCCTCTCTCCATCCCACTTCACTGACAAAACTGCACTTGTCTCCGTATTTTAACGATTTAAATATGCAAATTGATTCAAATTCTTGATTCACCTGTTTCTGGTTTAAAATGGATATAAAACTTAATAGCATTTTTATCGCAGGTAAATCGTTGCATTCTTCGGTAAAAATGTTGCTCAGAAATGGAAGAAGAGAGCGAAACTGAGGTGGAAAATGAAAAAAGGCGATAATTGTGCGAGCCAGCACGGGCTGTCGCATCGTATCAGAAATCAATCGCGGCGACACGTGGGAAATCGGCGGTCTCACGAGGATAAATAACGCGTCAACACCGTTGCTTCATAGGTATTTTCACGAACGAGCACTGACGACCAGACGAAACTCGTTAATTTTTAACGCACTCGGCAAACACGCACGCGAACGAGCTTGAATCCGCCAGGGAAAGAAATTTTTTAATATTTCTCCCATTTCTTTGTTTCTCTTTTGCTCCCGCTCTCTCGCTAGTTTTCCAATGACATTTTTCGCAAACATACTTTTTTTTTTTCTATAGAAATATTGTACCGGGGATTTTGATATTAATGCAAAATCATGTTCAAGCGTTATTTTTACGAGATTGGTATCCAATATTTGACGATCCCTGTTCCGGAAATTCTCAGCCGCTCTTCCGTTATTTAAGTTGATTAAAAAATGTTTCTGTGCGTACGTCGGTTGCTGACGTCCAGATGGCACACGCGTTCTAAACGAGCTGTACTCCTTTCTATATTTTCATGTTTAAATAACCTTTGTACAAATATCCCTAATTAAATACTCAAACTCGAATCATTTGGAACGTTATAAATCGTCGGAAAAACGGAAGAATTTTAAAATGAAAAATTCTTTCAGTTTCGACAGAGTGGATGCCATAATTATAGAGCGTTCTGGTGTAGGAATAAGGCCAGGAGGCAAACATTTTTTCACATCTTTCCAGTCCTCTGCTGCCCTCTTTATTATTCCTCCGGTAACGTCACAGGTTCTCTCGTTAATGGGAATTCGTGATTTTGAAGTCGATGCGGCTCCATCGTCATTCTCAATGGGGAGGTGTAGGAGGAGGGGGCTCGATCTTTTTCTCGCGGCACCCGAAGGTGCAATTAACGTCGACGCGTACCAAACGAGATTTATTAGCTCTTCTGGCATAATTGCTTCCAAGAAAGCTGGCGAATGGTAACCTTTTTTTCTGTACAATTACGTCTAACGAAAGCAATTACAGAGTTTCGTTAGCGTGAATGATAGCGTGAATTTTTTCTACGTCTCGCAATTGAGACGTAGAAAAATGAAAATTTATTATAATGTTGCGCATACGTAATGTATATTTTACAAACGGAATCGCGAAATGTACGTGTATATTATTTAGTTGCGCGGCAGTATCGGAACATGTCTGGATTATTGCATTTCAGTGAGCCCTCGTAAACCAGAGATAGTCGAAGCGCAGACGGTAATTAGGTAATTAGTTAGCAGCAACACGGGCATCGCGGCTGCGTTTATGTACATAAAATACGGGATTTACGTCTAACTCAATGTTGCCAGAAGAGATATTACTGTCAGAGATCTCCCTATTAGGAGGGTGCACATCGATTCAAGTAACTAGCCACTTTTGCCGTTATTAGCCGTCCGAAATTCATCGAGGTAACCTCATCCGACGTAAATTCGCAAACGCGACGCGACATTTCCACTGAATCACCTTGCGAAATTAATTAGCGCAAGATACTCTGCGCTACTCTCTTATGTATTTTACGAGTCAGTCGGCCCTGAAATTAAAATAACAGGATACGGTGACATCGTGTTTCCGAGTTTCACTGGCAAATGTAGAATTTTTTAATTATATTCACACGTATAGATTGCATACGTAGCTTCGAAATGGACCGTGCGAGATCGTACATTTTTCTGATAGGTTAAATTGTTTCGCTGTTAACGATGTTACTTGATTTCCTGTTGCAGGAGTTGAACAATAGACAATTGGAACCGGTCGAAGTGTTTCGTGGCATACCGTACGCTGCACCACCCGTAGGGGATTTACGATTTCGACCACCGATCTCGCCGATACCTTGGAACGGTATCAAAATAGCTGAATCCTTCGGCGCTGTTTGCCCCCAGCACTTTCCGGACGTTACCAATAACGTGACTGCTCTGTTGCAAATGACCGAGGACAGGTATAAACAACTGAAACGACTGCAGATGCTGCTGACAAATCAGAGCGAGGACTGCCTCTTTCTCAACATGTACGTACCTGGAAGCGGTAAGTGCGACAACAATTGGTACACTAAAACCTGCGTTTTAAAATTAACAAGGATGCATACGTCCACTGTTACCCTATTAATGTCTACCTCCGAGGATGACTAGCGAAAAGAATTACTCCCATCAAATGATCGTACATTAATCGACGCAACGCGAGTTGCATTCGCGAGAAAGAAAAATGTGTTAACTCTAATTAAACTGGGAAGTTTCTCTCGCATACTTTGCAAAAAAGACCGCGTATAATACCCGTAATTAGATAGCACGCGTTAATAACGCGCGAACTGGAAATTTTGAGCCGGTATCTATCATCTGTTCATGGAACAGTATGGTGTTACGAAGCAACTTACTTCCTGAAGTAATTACTCCCGAAGTAATTAGTACCTTTATGTCGGGTATTATCGTCGAAGTAAAAGCAGGGCTCGTATATCATTCGACGAACGTTGAGTTTGGATTTTCGAGCTTCATCCGATAGCCATCAAAAAGTTCATGCTAACTAGCGGAATGCGCATCGGTGCAAGCAGTGTATCAAGAATTAAATACTTTCTGTCACCCTTTTTCAAAAATCTGTAGCGAACTCGTTTTGAGAATTGCGTGCCTTTCATAAATATTAAAAAACGATTTCAACAGAAATTGCAATTTTTGCTGCGATATTTAAATCAAAACTGCGGTAGAGTCATTACCTTTCATTCGAGTTCCGTGAAATCACAAAAAGAATCAGTCCCAGGCATCCGTGTTATTATTCGGCGCTTTCAACGACAGGAACGACAAACGCGCGACTCCCTACGAATTAAATCGGTCGAACGGATTGTTACGCGATAGAGAAATTCAATTTTCAGCGAAACCAATAAAAGCGACGTCGCGTGCTAATCGGCCCACGCTCGTTTCCGCTTAGCCGGCGATTAAAGAGCGATATTTAGCCGCGATAGAAGCACGATTAATGATACTTTGGAGAGATATTACGGCGACGAGCTAAACTGCAGAACGCGGACGACCAATTGACCAGAAAATCTCTGCCGATAATTGCACGATTCTGTTCGTTTTTTAGTAAGATACGAAACCATTGCATTACGAGCACCATTAATTACGTTATTATCCCGTTTAAGTCGAAAATGACGCGTGTGAAATATAATCGCTCCTATCTCGAATTTTTACCCTTTCGATCCTCGTGTCGATATTTGGAATAAATTTGAAATAACTTGACGGGAGTGTTCTTCTTCCGAGGAGAATTATTTGCGGCAATATTTTCACATATTGTCTAATAAAGAAAGGAGACGAAGAAACGAGGCCAAGCAATATCCTGCGAGGAATACGCGATCTGCGAGAACGACAACGCGTTGCCAGACGAAATTAATTTCTCTGACCCTACTATTTCTGGGCCGAAATTTCTCGGTCCTGGATGTATTTTAATCTAGACAATTGAATCCCTCGGTGGTGATCTTGCCCGTCACGTTTCTCGTGACGAGCTTCGGATATCCTTCTCCGGCACTCTGTCAAGTCTAATTGGAAGAGATATCTCGCCGTAGCTCGTGTCGGAACAGCTAATCAAAATACGAATGAGTGACTGGTACGCTCTGGCCAAGCACTGACTGGTTCTACTTTCTTGTCCGACGACAGCCCTTCTATCGACGTTACCAGAAAAATTTAACTTTTCTTATCATTGGTTTTATAATTTATATCAAATTCAACGTAGTGGCAAAACTCGTCAACTTTTATAGGATCTCGCGGTCCCGAAGCTCCCTACGCTGTAATGGTCTACGTTCACGGTGAAAGCTTCGAATGGGGAACAGGAAACATCTACGACGGTACCGTCTTAGCCAGTGCTGGCCACGTTATAGTGATCACGCTCAACTATCGCCTAGGAATCTTGGGTATGTACTCTTTTACAAAACGAAAGTTCGATCGACTACGGCTCAACTAAAAAAAAACGTGACAAAGCAGGAAATTATTCGAACAGCAAATAAATAATTCATTATTTATTTCTTCCACTAAACCGTGTCTCGCTAATAATATATAACGGAAACCCAGACCGTCGCCGTCGTCGTTACGCAATAATTATATCTGGCCGACGCGTGCACGAATCCGTACGGAGATTAATATTTGACGGTTCGCTAACCGTATTCAATTATAGTACCTGTAACGTAGAAATAACCGATACACCGTGCCCCTGCAGTTTCCTGCAATCGAACGGCCCTCGAATATCCGATACGTAAACAACTGTATCGCGAAACGGGCCTCGATAAAAACTAGATTTCATTTGTGATATAAATACTAACGGGGCTCGATGCTCGCCGCGTGTTCCTGGTATCGCGTCGGTCAGAGGACGGTAAACGAAAACAACAGGGCAGGGGAGAACGGAGATCGAGATCGTAGGCAGGATTCGATAGGATAATAGCGACGGGCAAAATATTTGTCGTGTCCCGTTTGTTGCGGAATGCGTCGGCTCACCGATGCCTTGGCGACGTTCCAGGTTTCCTGAGAACCCATCCGTACCCGGACAGGACGCCAGGATCCGGCGGAAATTTGGCCTTAAAGGACATCGCCATGGGATTGCGTTGGGTACGCGAAAACATCGCCGCTTTCGGTGGTGATCCAACCAAGATCACGTTAATGGGCCACGATACTGGCGCAGCCTTGGTGAATTTTCTGCTCCTAACCCCTTATGGCAAAGGTGAGTGGCTACTAGAGATAGAGAATCTTGTTTTCAAAAGCTGAAAGTTCGCAGTCTACGATATAAATCCGACGAATCGCGGACCCACGAGGAACGATCAAAGTTGTACATACCGCTTAGGATTCGATTCAGCCGATGACGAAGGACCATGCAATAACAAGCGGAGCACAGAATGAAAATCGATGCCGAATAGAGTAGAAATATCGGTGTCGGTTATGATTAGGGGATATAGCAGGCGCGACAGTCGATAGATTAATCGGTGAGGGATTAGCCTTGCGAAACCAGCGGGAACCGACAATCGAGATAACGGAACATCTCGTGAATAAAAAAGAGAATGAGAGGGGTAAAAATTGCGCGTATCGATCTCTCGTGCGATGGTGACAAATTGCGTGGCTTCGTTTTGTTCCTGGAGAACCGAAAATGTATTTTTTATTGGCATCGTACGTACCAGCCCGGATTGGACCCTTCGTTCCGTTGCTGCGGCCGATTCGCCACAAAACTCCACCCACAAACGGAGATGGTGTTGTACGCTCGGCTAACAATGCCTGCGCGAGTATTATCGAGAAAAAATATCCACGAAACGCGACGCTCCACGTTGCGTAAATACTCTGTCGTCGCTCAACTTCTTGCCGTTTTATTTTCGACCAAGTCGCCAAGCTCGCAATTCGATAATATTATTCTTCGATTTCAGCATAACATACAAATATTATTCCGGTACAAAGACGCGTACCAGCCCGTGAGACACGGAATTAGCCAGGGCAATCAACGAACAATTAGGGTCAATTTATCATACGCATGCGTTGCTGCTCACCTCTGTTCGATGTATTTTTGTTGTCGCTCCGCTCTAACGAAGCGAAGACTATCGAATTTCGAATTAATATCGCGGTACCGTAAACATGTAAATACGGGAATTTGCGTAAACAGAACCCTGCAAGGCATACATTAAAAATGGTTACCGAACCGTTGATACTTCAGGGCAATGTCCACGGGAATTCAACGAAACCGATACCTAGCGACGGTTTGTTCAACGGTGCATTTCCTATAGGATCCGGTAACGATAAAAATTATTTAGCTACTTGGAGAGGGGCATAATTCAACGCGAATATTGCACAAAATGTTTGAAAAGACTAGAATTGGCCTAAGCCCGCGTATTCTCTAACTTGGAGTGTAAATCGTAGCCTCGAGACACGATAGCTGTAACCCCGGGGAACACAAATGGACCAAAGGGACCAGAAGGCGAAACGTAGTCTTCCGATGCGAAGGAACGAGGTAATTTCCCCAAAGTTCCGACGAATTCGTTGGGATACGTAGCCGAACAGACGTATGCCAGCGGTTGAGAGTGCAAAAAGAGAAGAAACCGGAGGAAAAGTTGTCCGGTCGGAGCATCAACTTCCTCCGCGCTCTTCGGCCCCACTCGAGTGCATTCTAGCAGCGCTTACCACGGTCGGATCGGAAAGGCCTCGTTCCCTCTCATTCCCCGGAAGTTGGTCGTCCAGCGTTCGCGGTATCGGGATCAAAAAGAGGCGAAGAGGCGAGCGGTAAAAGCCGCAACCTCGAAGAAGAGGAGCCGTTTCAACGCCGCTTCCTGCGTCCGCGCCAGAAACGGAGACAGCGCCTCGGCCGCGGGACGAAGAGGACCTTTCCAGATGTAAACCGTTTGTAGCGTTTCCGGTCCGACCGGAAAATGCCCAAGCTGCAGAACGGATCCCGTTCGGACTACCGCGAGCGCTTGCACCGACTCTCCACTTCGGAGAGACTTTTCTTTAGCCCTGCTCTAACGCTTGCTACGAAACTTTCTCCTTTTGTACGTGTGATTTAGTGTACGCGACGAAGAAAGGCAACAGCACGCACTCTGTAAGAAAGCAACGATAAAAGGTCTGTGGATCGATCCGGGAACTCAATTTCTTTTAATGTAACAGTTTCGAAATGGCTAGAGATACTGCAAACAGAAACGTCGATAGTCTTACCGACAAATCCATTTAGCAAACTCGAAGCGAAATGCATTCTCCTCTTGTCTTCCCTCCCGTCTCGTCACCGCGAACACCGAATCGAGAAGCTTTCCTTTCCTACGTCCACGCCACTCGGCTTTATTATTGCGTCTCGGACAGATTTCAACTGATACAGAGGTTTATGAATAGCTTCTCCAGAGCTCCCGTCGTTTAAATTTCAGACAATTCGGTATCTAGAGTATAAGAACGACGTTATCTACGTTGTTTTCCGCTGTTTCGACGAGGTGCGAGGGACGAGGTAGACGGTTTAAAAGAAATCACCGTAGAAACCGATGCGCCCGACGCGCATCGAATCAGTCGATTGCCATGGAATCACGCTCGACTGCTTTCCTGATTACTCGCTAAGCCAATCGGTCGAGCGCGGCGTTTCTGATAGCCGAGAAACAGCTCGGGGGTGGTGGCTGACGGCTGCAAAACGAAAATGCCGAGGAAAAAGGACGAGTCGCGGATGGCTCCCGAGACGCGTAATCCTATTTCATCACGGACGATGAAGCGATCTTCGAAGAACCGATGGCAAGAGTTTGTTTTGGCTCTCGAATTAAGTTCGAGAGATCGATAGTTCTTGCGCGTCCTGTCCGTCGCACGTGCCCCGTTTTATCTCACGCGATGATTAAATCTTGCAATGAAAACGAAACGGTTATTATCGATTTTAACCCGGATTCGTAACGAAAATATATTATTCTTCCGAAGAAAATATGGCGTTGATAAAACCTCAATGTATGCATTATACTTCGTGAATGATATATTCGCAAACATTTTTAAACTTGTTAAATATCCTAGCAATAAACGCACGAAGAAAGACAACAACGGTATTCTACATGAATATGCGGATTATTATATCAAGTAGGATACCGCACCAGCTCCAAATGCTCCAAATGGTTCAAACAAACAAACATAAAATTTCTTTAACGAGGTAGGACGTTTCAACCGTGAAATTAATTCGCCTGGAAACGTTGTGTGCAACAAATTCAAAACCACGTATCAAATCGCCGAGTAAAATATTTCATGAATATTCTGACGGTTAAAAAAAAAGTTACTCCTTTTTTTGTGAAACATGACGAATAATAACGGTACGTACGTACGTACGTCGGTGTGTATTAATCCGTGCAAAGTCAGAAACAGAAATGCAGTAACATCGGACTGAAAAACTTTTATCGCGAGAACGAATTTTCCACCGAAACGAATAATTCGCCGTATTAACACGTTAATCGCATATGTTCGTGGAATTTGCTATGAGCTCGTCATTCGTTATTTCTTTGCGTATGCCAATAAAACGGCGTAATCGTTCCGCGATTGAAAGAGATAAACGCGGCTCGTTAACTTTGCCGGTCAACAATTTTTTAGACGAATCAAACGAATTCAAATTTCTTCTACGACTATGCCCATAACGAGTGCATTACCGTCGTATCGTGATCTCCTTGAAGCCAACTTTTATAAACTTTTATAAGCGTCGCTTCATTCGATTATTTAGAATAGATGGTGTGTTTCCAGTCGACCGACCTGTACTATCAAATTTCACCGTATAAAAAGCAATTTTCTCGGCGCTCGAGCTCTTCTCGGATTCCATTAATAGCTCGAATTCAAGGAAAAGATACATATTTCGCTGAATGTCCGCGACAACGACGAGGATAAGTGGGAGAATCTGCAATTTAACAGATCGCCAGTCACAATACGCTCGCTGAAAGTCCCAAATCGACTCGAGATTCGTCGCCGTCTCCGAGATTCATAGCAGAGAACGACGTGATCGCGCAGAGTCCATAATTTGTATTTCACGCGCGACGTTACCGCGACCGAAACTTTCCGAATCTACATTTCTAAGGCGTAACGATGGCTCAACATTCCCGATGGCCCGTCGTAAAATTTTCACGGAACGAACGAAGCAATTTGCATGCAGGATGCGACGTTTAATCGCGCTGACGAAACGATAAGAAGCTCCAGGAGCTCGTAGAAGCCGCGAAGAGATAGAAGGCGATTCCGAAATGGTCTAGACAGCGGTGTAATATTCCGAATAAAGGCGATAAATCGGATCGTCGCTCCCGATATCGGGCCATCATTCTCGAACTTTGATTTACTTTCGCAAGAAAAGCCACGGAGGTGAATCGCCTCATGACTCATTGTAGAATAAGTCACGCTCGGAATACGTTCCGTAGAGGATGTATACTATATTAGGTTATATTATTGTTGTCCGAAGCCTCCGAGTCCCCGTTGCTATTTACGCGTACCGCGAAGGCTTCCTTATTATCGTTGCACGCCACGATTTCCTGTTTGCCTTTAATCTTTCCCAGCTTCGCTAACGAAAAGTATACAATTCCGCTGATGGCTTCCTCGAGTCCTCCGACTCTGTAGTTTTGCAACGTTTCTCGTGTTTTGTTCCGTTTTAGCGAAACCAGCGATCCGCGATAATTCGTCTTCCTCCCCTTCTTCGTTTCGAACTAGACGAATCGCGACCGAGAAGCAAAGTCAACGACCGTTCTATGACGGGAGAAACCGGCAGTGGGATTCCGCCGACATGGTATCGAGGGATGGTAATTAATTAAGGCGTGCCGGATCGATCGTTCAAGTTCGCGTACTTTGGAATAAATGTTGATTCTTTTGCAACTCGAATCACCGGGTCACATTCATTAAGTAAAGCTTTGATCGGTTCTCGCTGACTATGCAACGTAGTCCTTGTCCTTTTGTTAATATCCGAAACTGTACGTTCGAAGATCCAACGACCGACCCGAGGAAATCACTGTCCGAGGATATACGCAAAAGTGGAGGACGTATGCAAACGAATATCGAGAGGCTCCGCGAAGAGCACAAACATCGAACGAAACGGACGACTAGTGGATCTAAAAATGTGATCAACAAGGATTCACAGAGTCGTTGTCGGGCAAATACCGCTTTCAAAAAATTACTCCGATAGTAGACGGCTTCGTAGGAAACTGTAAAAGGCAAATATTTACCATCGACGATGCGGCGAATGTTTGCATCGAACACGTATTGCCGTCGTATTCCTCTTTGGCGTCGCGCGGGATTAATCTAAATACGTTGCAACATTTCTAGGCGGAGGCACCGATGCTTAAAAGTCGGTCGCGTACATTTGTTTGAATATCCACTGCGCTGCGCCCTTTGCGAACCATGTTCGCGAAATTAAGGGCGGATACGAAATGCCAACTCCGTGAAACTTGGCCCGAAAACCACCCTTTTAAACGTTAAAGTCCAAAAGTGACTAAAATGTGCTGGGGGTAACGTAAAAGAAAACGGAGGAGTCGTAAATAAATAAAGGTTTGTTCCAGGTCTATTTCATCGCGTGGTGTTGTCGAGTGGTTCTGCGTTAAGTCCGTGGGCCTCCGTCCACGATCCGAATGATCTTCGCTCGAAGGTGGCGGAACAAACAGGATGTTCCACAGAAAACGACGAAGATATCGCTGACTGTCTACGCGGTGTTCCTCTCGAGGAGCTGATGGCGGTTAAACTTCCGGAAATCCGGTAAAATATCGATTCCTTGCAATCTTATTTTCAACTCCCTAACGTTTTATCGCGTTAGCCTTCGTGCTTATGTAAACGGTTCGCATAAATTTCTGCCTTTACGAGGTAACGAATGGGGCGGGTGTTGGGCACGTAACAAGTGCGAGAAAATGAACCAGATAAACATTGCATTCGAAGATAGCCTACGATAAATTCAAACAAATTGTAAACGATTACCGCTTTGTCAACGCAAAGTCCATCCAAGCCTTCGATTAAATCATTCTGGATCGCAGTCAATCCGAAGTTCAAAGCAAACTTCGGATGGCTAGTTAACGTAGGACACACGCGTCGTTATTGTTAGGTTCTGTGGTCGCTTTGACGATCAACGTTGCGTTACACCGAATTGTCATGGCTACGAATGAAATTTGTATGCCCCAGGTTCGTGCCTCGAATAGGACCCGGCTTACCAGTGGACCAAAATAATCCAGATCCGGGTCTGGATATGGAGAGGGCGAGCGACACGTTCATCAAAGTGCCCCTGATCCTGGGTGTCTCCACCACGGAGTCTAATCTCGACTTCAACGCGAACGATATCAAGGTTGGCCTCGAGGAGGACCATAGAAACCGCGTTTTGAGAACGTTCATCAGGAACGCGTACGTTTACCACTTGAACGAGATCTTCTCTGCCGTGAGGAACGAGTACACGGACTGGGATAGGTCCATCATTCATCCTATCAATATAAGGGACTCGACGATGGAGGCCCTGAGCGACGGCCATACCGTGGCTCCGCTTATGAGAATCGCTTTCTATCACGCCAGGAGAGGAGCCAAGACCTACTTCTATCATTTCAGCCATCAGACTAAGGAGAGCGGTTATCCGCAGGTCGGTACAGCGCGATTCATTTTCGATTCGAAAGAGTTTCGGTTCCGATTCTCCGTTCTCGCTCGAACCACGTCTTCGAGCATCCATTGGAGACATTCTAGCGTCGCGTCTATCAAAAGGTTCCCTGTTCAGCCGCGCGAACGCAAAGTTAAACAAGAGCGAAGGCAAAAGCACTTCCAGGTTCGGCTTAATTCAATCGCAAGAACGCAATCGAGCTCGCGGCTCTCTCGTTTCTTCCTCGGTGAAGATTGCTCGCTGGCACTCCAATCTTCCGTTTCCACGCCATCGATTCCTCCCTTCGTTTCGAGACTCTCCCTCCCCCTCCTGTAGCCGTGTCCCCGCTTAACCGCTGCCCATGATTCCACGATGAAGCTACTGATTTAATCAAACGCCTCCCGTGCCTCGTGGACGACGCTCGCATTATCGCGTAGGTCCCCGACGACGAGGGCGTAAATTAAGCGCGCGACGTTATCCATCGAACTTGCCTAGCCGTCGGAATCTCGAAAGTTTCCGTCATACTAAGCCGCAGTTCCGCGCCCCTTGTCGCTCGAAACGACGCGACGCAAGATGGCTGCTGTTTGAACGGGGGATTGTCTTCTCGGTAATTTACCGCGAACTTTTCACCGAGATTGGTCGATTTCGCGCGATAATGGCCCTCTCGAGGATGGCAAGATAACCGACCAAGTGATTTACGGATCTTTATGACTCGTAAAAACCGGTACGAGGAAATTGGCGGAGAATTGTACTTTGTAAACGGTATTTAACATATAAACGCGAAAAATAGGGGTGGAATTGACAGTCATGCGGAGTAATTTGTAGTAGCAGAGGATTAAACGATGGCTTGAATAATATCAAGTGTTTAATTTGCATTTTGCGACACCATCGATTAACTCCAATTAACACGTACGATTTTGTTTCACGCGGACAACGTTGCCTATGAATTTTAATGGACAGCTCCGCTTAATTACCCTCGTAATCAATTTAAACCTGTTTATTACTTATGCCAATAAATTTACATCTATTTACCGAGACGATCTTTTCGGGTACAATAAACTCGTTACGTGACAGTCAATCGATGTTTTGCTTCTAATGCTACGAAACTTGTCATCTTTTTCAATATTGCTCCTTTCTTCTACGTTTCCAACGTTCCATTCAACGTAGACCATCTTAATTCTTTGCTCCAAATTGCCATTTCCATCCCCTGCATTCTTTTCTCCGCCCTTCTCTCCTCCTTCTATTCTCCAGCCGTTAACGGGGTCCTAACTCACGGCCGATACTTCACCCTCTGGGATTCTAAATTCACCGGAGGACGCGTTGATTATAGTAATGCCAGAAGTTACAAAGAGTCTCGGTTGCGACACCCGAGAACTTATTAAACGGTCTCGCCTTTCGCTGGCCGACGCGCTCTCGATTTAATTAAATTTCGCTTTGGGTTTACGCAGGGCGGCCGCAGCGGCGAGTAAACCGCAGTAAATCGCTATTAACCGTGGCCCAGAACGAAACTTATTAACTTTCGGTTGTGATTCGGCCTGGACCTTTAAAAGCCCCTGGGTTTATGGCGTATTCGACAGTCGTTGAAGATGGGAGAAGCGATCGTAAACTCTGAATACTAAATCCTAACTTAAGCCTCACCCAGACCTGCTAAATTATTTTCAAGCTCTGCTGTATACAACTAAAACTACTTGAAAAAGGTAACGATATTTGGTCGAGAAAGCGAAGTAGACGCGGCCGTGGTTGGATAAGTGATCACCCCTGGTCAAGACAAGGGGTATGCGATATGAGTAATCGTCAAAACTCACCTGTGAATCCTCGAGGAAATGTTAATTCCGCGTTGCTTCTTCCGCGTATATCGACTCGTAGCCCATCCACGAAGATATCACGTGTACAGCCGAGGAACGCGATCGGTACATTCGTTTGCTTACGCTGCGAATTATCGGGATTTTCATCGTGACCCGACGGGGTGAGAAACACAAACAAAATTGAGCACGTCTCCGCGATACGCGGCACTTTGCAATTACAATTGCCTCCTGTGTTCCTGCAGCTGGCCCGTCGAATCGCCTACGTGTCTGTTCTCTCGAGTAAGCATCCTTCGGATGTAAATCGTTACCAGGCGAAAACACGTAGCGTTCAACTTAATTTTGCTATTTCCTTGTTACTCCGATATACCGTGTTTATCCGTGAATGACTCCTCATCCAGTCAGTTTAAATAAGGGATGAAATGTTATCGTTGCAGCGTCTGGGCAGCGTTCGCGGCGAAGATATACCCTACATTTTCGGGCTGCCATTGGTGGACGGCGGACATTTCTTTCCACGGAATTACACTCAAAAGGATCAAAGTGTCGCCGAAGCAGTCCTCACGTTCTTCACGAATTTCGCCAAGACCGGCAATCCAAACGAGCCCCACAAAATAGAGTCTGTGGATTATGGCATGCCCAAGGAGAAAACGCAGTATCACGGTCTCACGTGGGAACAATACGAAACTAGTACTCAGAAGTACCTCACCATTGGTGCGTCTCTTACTTTTTATTCCAATTATTACGCATTAATTTCAATTTAGATTGGTCGTTACATATTCGCAATTGTGTTTAGCAATGAAGCCAAAGATGAAGAACCATTATCGCGGTCATAAGATGGCAGTTTGGCTCAACTTGATACCGCAACTCCATCGGCCAGGCGACGACGACGTCTCGATGCGACACCATCACTTCCGCGAAAGGGGCGACCACTTCTATGCAGGTAAATAACCTTTTATTATCACTAGCGTGCATAATCGTTTCGTTTTCAATCTCTAACCGTGTAAATCTTAAATAATCTAGCTAACTAACGAGATGAATCGTTGATTGGTTTCAGGGCCTGTTCGAGACGAGTGGTACACGCCTCTGCCCCTAGTGGGGACGACAAAAACGAGCGCGTCGTCGACAACAGCGTGCAGCACATCTACCAACGATGACGCTGTCGCTGAGGACATCACTCCCATTCTGGACGACTCGGATGATGACGCCGAATTGTTGCAAAGACTAGCCTCTCGACGTTATTACAGCACTACTACAGCCCTGGCCATCACCGTGGGTGTGGGTTGCATCCTCCTGGTGCTCAATATGTTGATATTCGCTGGTATTTACTATCAAAGAGACCGCGACAAGAAAAGAGCAGCCATGGACTGCACACCCAACGGACAAGAATCGCTCCCAATGACAACCAGGTCTTCCATAAAAGCACCAGAAAACCCGAGACCATCCCAGGAACCACCACCGTCTTACACAACCCTCGCGAGGAGTCCCTCTATCCAAGAGCATCAGCAAATGCCTCAATGTCAACCGCTGGACGAGGACGAGCAGCCTAGAAACGAATTAAAACCTGGCCACGGGACCAGCAATACCATCCACAAGGATCCGATACCTCCGAAGCCACCTACGAGAACAACCAGTTCGCTCAGCACCATTGCTGGTACCAAAACCATCAAGAAACGTGTGCAGATACAGGAGATATCTGTATAGCATTAGGGGTTGCCCCAAGAGGGCAACGCGAAAGCTAAAAAAGTGACTTTTGTGGACTTTGAAGGAGCAGCTACCGAATCCAAGTTCTAAGAAAGTGACTAGCGAGAGCGAGGATCCTTGTTTGGAATACGACGTCTCGCTTGAAGTAGCAAACATGTTTGATTGCATTGCGAGTAGGTGTGAATCGAGTCTGGAGCACGGGCAAAGATCGAACACTTTGGTGAATCACCAAAAAGAAAACTTTAGTTTGTCGATATACGTAGAAGAAGCTAGGCTACGATAATGAACCGTTCAAGATTATTCTTCTAAAGGTTTTAAAGTGACACCTGTGTATCTAAGTGAATCCGTGGAATGAATCAGATGGTAATTAATCTAAATCACTTATACAAAGTAACTAATTGCTATAATTAAAAAGTATGATGTGTAATAAAACTGCCATCTCGCCGAACAATGAAAGTGTTCCTCCTTGGCTCGAAACTGACTTTCTAAGAATTGATACGTTGCTACGTTGTAATCGTTGGTGCCATGTATCGAAAGATCATTTTCGCGATGCAACTGCTTCGCGAGAAGCGTGGGCGTTTTCTCACGAATGAAAAGTCAGTATCGTCGCGTCGTGATGGAATTAACTTCTAATTCAAGAAATTGACTGACTGTAACTATGTAAAGATTATGAGGATTCGCGAGTGAGCATTGTAACTTGTCACTCGTCGGACCTATCGTCGCGACACAATCAGTGTTCTTTCAAGTGTTCTTCTCGTAGCTGACATCCAGAATCGAGTAGGCATAAATGGTCACACAATTAGGATAACTTCTGATATATAGACTCGTGAAAGATTCCTACTTCTGTTTGCGTCTTTTCTATTTCAACTATTGAAAGTCGTGCACGAATTTGCACAGATAATCAATTAGGTAATGTCTACGTTACATGAATCGTAGCAAAGAATCGAGAATTATACCCAAGCGTTGCTATGAAAATGACTTCTAAACTTACACGATAACAATCCTCACAATCTACTTTATTAGTGTTCTGTACGTATATAACGATCACTTTGATCTCTCGCCTGATTTGTCCAGAATTGGTAAACAAAGTGTACAAGTCGCCCAAAATCGCTGGAGTAAATTTATTTACGAAGAAACGTTCACGAGAATTATATGTATAAGAACCATTTGTTTGTCTTTTTACTGAAAAGTCTTTTCTTTGCGAAAAATACCGATTAAACAAAATGTTGTATCATAAGTATACCAATATACACCTCGTTCACACAACGTTTGTGTAAACACTCGTGAGATAAAATGGAGATAGTTGAGTTATGGTAACGTGTAGAATACTTCCTATCGCAAAACCTACACCTTTATTACAAATTTACTTTCTTTCACGTACTTATTAATAGATAATCGTTGAAACAAAGTATTTTACACGTTACTGTTACTCTACATGTGTACATATAATCATCTCTTCGTGTCATCAATCCATTTTCCATTCGATCACCTTGTCGACTGAGAAAAAAAAATGTTAAAAAACCACTTCATTAATTTTGCGTTACCTTCTCATCGTCTTTGTATTATCGTTCGCCAATAAAATAAAAAGAAAACGTATACATATTTACGCACTCGATATCGATAAGAATCCAAAAGACCAGCTCGAAAATGTTTCCGTAGAAATTTGCGCAGGTGCTTTGTGCAAGCTCAAGGTTAAAATGACTAAAAATAGTATGCGGATATCGAATATTTAAAGTTTAAACATGGCTAGCCACTATTTCGGAATAAAAAACTTACATAGCACTTGCGGGAAACGTCGAACGCCTCTGGTCGCGATATGTGCTCAAAATGTAATCGTAAAATGGGGAATGACTTCCTTTAAACTAATACCTACACATTTCCTCTTCGACCAAGTAATCTAAGGCGAGATTACGTTCACGTTCACGGAGATTATCAATCATCTTTGTAGAATTTTTCAAACTGAATCGATCGTCACTACGCTCCAAATCGAATGTTAACAAATTTTCAAGAAAATTGTACGACAGAGATCTGGACTTATAAAAACCGACATAGATACCATTAAAGAGGAATTTATTTTTTATTTGAAATATTATTTCTTCCTTTCATTAACTTGTAAAGTTTTGACGATGTAATACATAATTTTATACTAATGAATTTCGAGAAAATCGCATCGTTTAATGTTCGTTAAATATTCATGCACGATATAATTGCAACTGTTTTCACGGTTACGATGCAATACTGTTCCAGTAAGAAATTTACGAACTTTCCTTTGTAGGAAAAACATTATGAGCTTCAACGGACACGTCGTTTCAATCGCCCATGTAAACAAAGTAACGCCTGTTTAATATATTTTAATATATTTAATCAATTGTACGCATTCTCCGAGGCACATGAAGTAACGAAAGCGTATCCGTACTATTAAGGACATAACGTTGTACTTAGATAGCAGCATAATATGCACGGTGTCGCGTAATTGTACTATCAATTTCGGTCATTTTCGATACACCGTTACATGAAGATAATTCATCGAGTATTGTCCGCGAATGATTTAAATTGTCAGTGCGTTGTGATTGTTGGTTAATTGTATGAACGGGATATCAAGCACGTAACAGTGAAATTTAAGTAGTAGATTAGATGAACCACCAACTTTGTAAATTTCACTGTAAAACAATAAAATGCTGGTTTCTAAATATATCTCAATTTCAAGTTTTTACAACATACCTTGGGTATCGTGAATTATGTAGGGGTTCGAAAATAATGTACGGCTTGCAAATATAAACAGTGTTATTTATTTCATTTTTTAAATAATACACTGCTCAAGTATAACAGAAAAATATGCATTTAAAGTAGATATCTACTTCAAGTGTAATATCTATCTTTTACAAATGTATCACAAACTTACGACAGGTTCAATTCTGCGACGCTGACATCAAATGAGAATCTTCGCAAAGCGGTAAGTACAGTTTTTACTTCTAAATTACACAAAAGTTACATTAAATTAAACGTCGTTAATACTTTAACGGCCGCTCACACTACATGTGTGTGATGTTACCGTTACTGCGTACAAGTTTGGCCGTTAAAGTGTTAATATTAATACAATTAAATAAATAAAAATAATCGTTCTTTACTCGCTCGCCTATGTTCTCAGGACACATTTTAAAGACATTCTAACCTAAAAACATTCATTCTATTAAAACGAAAAACATACGGAAATGTCAAATTGAAAAATGTCATACATGCGGACCGTTGCAAAATGAATCGTCGTAAATAAGGATGCGTCTGTATATTCTATACACAAGTGTCCGCTTAATAAAAATATGATTAATATACATAGTAGAAGGGTAAGTATGGAATTGTTTTGGCTTTTTAAAATTAAATATATTTGTCGAATTATTCGACAGCCACTTTTTTAGCAGGAGCAGCATCATCGTTATCGCTGCCACGCCTTTTCCTTTGACCCCGTTGTCCATTGCGGCCTTCAAAATAAATTTCATATTAAATATTTATTTTAATTTAACCATAAGGAAAATTCTTAATTACGCGACATTCAGAACATATGTAAAAGTTCAACTCAGCGAGACCCAGATGATCCCTCAGTATTAGCATGGCAAAACATCATTATAACGATATGAAAAATACATATAGAAAAATTATATACAAATATTTCATTAAATCAAGCATACCCCTTTTGCCTTGACGTTTTGGTTTGGAGTACTTCTGCCTAATGGAACCCATCTTTTCTTTTGCTTTTGTGAGGTACGTCTCTTCTTCTTCACCCTCGAGAACACGGAAGGTAACTTCTTCGTCACAAATTAATAACTATTAATATAAAAATATGTACAAGTTAAAACAACATTGAGACTTCAAAATACACAGAAGCAAATTTTAGTGACTCACTTTGCCGTCTTCCATTTTATCGAAGACGGACTTTGCAGCGTTCTCCCCTTGAAAACGAATCCACCCTTCCTCGTCGCCAATCTTAAACTCGACGAACGCAATATTGGAATCCAATTCACCTACGCGGTTCTTAATATCCTCCCTTGTACATTTTTCAGGTACATTGCAGAAATGAATAACACTACCTTTCGGTAGGGATGTCTTTTCACCATCATCCTCTGCTCCACTCTCTTCATCATCTTTTTCTTTTACCTTATAAAAATCCAAAATGTTTATACTTTTTACTGAACTACTACTGCTACTACTACTACTACTACTACTACTATAAATAAATTCAAAGAATCTTTCTATACTAACTGTGTCATTTTTTTTTGTTTTCATATCAGATCTCTTTTGCCTTCTATCTTCTTTCTCCTTTAACTTTCCCATAGTGTAATCATAGCTATATAAATTAAAATTATATAAGAATAGATCGAATAAAATCACACATCATTTTTATAAAATATCATATAGTTTTGTCAACTTACGACCACTTTTTAATTAATTCAGTCTCTTCATACTTTATAGGCCCCCTATCCATAAAAGCTTTTGCATCATCCAGAGTCTTAAATTGTATAAAAATGGATCCTTTAAACTGTAATTTTTTGTCTTTATCCGAATACTTTCTCATCTATAGAACAAAAAGAAATCTAATAAAAATCTGGATATTCTTTTGTCATTCTCCTTCTTGCTTGCATGCTTTAAATAGAACAAAGATACTTGCAATGATAGTTTCATAAGGCTCATAAGCATTGAAAAAAGTTTTCAACTTCTCCATAGTCATATTCTTCAGAGGAAATCCCTTTACGTAAGCTGTTCTGGCTTCTTGTGCCTTCCTATATTCTACGTTATAGTCTGGCAAAGGATGTTTCAAGGAACGACGAATCTTTTTTTTGTCCTCTGATACTTCTATAAGTTCACTTGATTCCAAGGCTTTCAAAATAACATCAACATCCTGACTCATAGAAGCCAACATTTTAAACTTTAACATAACAGACATAGGTACCCAACCTTCGTCCAATTTTGTTTGGTGAATAAGAAATTTGTCTCTTTGCATGTTTACATCACCAAAGTAAAACTATAAACAACAAAATGTTTAGTAATCTAACAATAAGTATAATATTGATGTTTAATGATTTACGTATAACCAATCAATTTTAGATTAAATAGTTATAGACTATATCATGAACTAATACCTCGATTTGATTCTTTATTTTTGTTAGAAGCTCACTAGAAGGCTCTTCAGATACTGATGTTTCTTTCGCATCATTTTCTTCGACCTTAGAAACCGGCTTCTCGTTCTTAACCTCATTGGTGGCATCATTACTCACACTCTCAGTTTTAATCTCTTCTTGACCATTTTCCATTTTCTTAACTTTTCACACAACGTGTATTCCAAAAAATTACGCGTACTTGATTATCGTAAAGCCTAAATGCAAACCACTTTGGCAAAACTCAGTAAAAATAATTGAACTCAAAACCGCATGACGCACACGTGCCGTAGCTCCTATCAAACCGGAAATATATAGTATGCTCTAAATGAAAACTATTACGTTATCGAAGGGAAGACAATTTTACAATTTGTTACGATTCCATAACGCAGTTGTACGTGCTTTAGTATCTCTAGCCTTCGTAAAAATCAGACACAATTAACAATAGAACGTAACTGTGAATTTGTATAACAATAAAAGAAATAATGAAAACCAAATGATATGAAATTCTATGTATCAAGGTGTTGGTTCTGAGCACTAGGGTATTTTACAGTAATCTTGTCGAATAATTAAATTTAAAACAAAGTTTTGTATTATAAATGTAGAACCTTCCGCATAAATGTTCTAAATAACATTTTATAGTTTTTAGACCCAGTACTATTTCAAATATTCTTTATATTAGATATTTTCTAAACCAAATAATAATCAGCGCCATCGGTGACAAAATGCCCAAGTTTGTAGTGAAAATAATTCCCGCTGTTATTACTAGATGACGCCACTAACTAAAGGGTCGATAATCATTTCTGGATTAAATAACTATTCATAAAAATGAACAATTAACATATTAACTAATACACTGTAGTGTTACGAAGTAAAGAATCGTACTAATTATCCATTTATGATAAATAAATAATAATCGATTTAAAGTAATCGGTGGCGCCATCATACAGAAACAGTGGCAACTATTTTCGCTAGAAACTTATGCGTTTTGCCACTGATGGCGCCACTAGCATAAAACAAGTCACCTACTAGTGTATTGTACTAATACAATAACGCACTGTATATTAATATGATTCTATGGCGTATAACACTATAATGTGATAGTTCATACGTCAATTTATCAACTTGATAAATAGTTATTTAATTTAGCAATAATTATCGACTCTCTTATTTAGTGGCGCCATCGGTGCGAAAATTACCAAGTTTGTAGCGAAAATAGTTGCCACTGTTTCTGTATGATGGCGCCACCGATTACTTTAAATCGATTATTTTTTTATTTATCATAAATGGATAATTAGTACGATTCTTTACTTCGTAACACTACAGTGTATTAGTTAATATGTTAATTGTTCATTTTTATGAATAGTTATTTAATCCAGAAATGATTATCGACCCTTTAGTTAGTGGCGTCATCTAGTAGTAACAGAGGGAATTATTTTCACTACAAACTTGGGCATTTTGTCACCGATGGCGCTGATTATTATTTGGTTTAGAAAATATCTAATATAAAGAATATCTGAAATAGTACTGGGCCTTAAAACTACAGAATGTTATTTAGAACATTTATGCGGAAGGTTCTACATTTATAATACAAAACTTTGTTTTAAATTTAATTATTCGACAAGATTACTGTAAAATACCCTAGTGCTCAGAACCGACGGTTGAGAATAGGGGGACACGACAACAAGAGTTTCTCCTCTGGAAAATTACTTCGTGGCTGCATCACCAAGATCTGTGCTCCACTGTGCTCCCTTCCGGTTCGCTCTGTTGGAGTGGTTGTGTCTTGTTTAGTTTAGCTGTAATTAAATCTTTCTCCATCTTCCACTATGAAGATCTATAAGGATATTTTCACCGGTAAGTAGATGGAGACTGCCATTAAGTATTTTGTCTAATTAATAGTTTTTCATTTGTCTGTTATGCAGAGAAATGAAGCGTCAAGTTTCATAGAAGGTCAATGCATAGTGACGTTTCTTATTACAACACTGAAAGCACGACAACGATAACTCTACTCGATCTCTTTTCTATTATTTAAATATTTAAAATGTACTATTATAATGTAAAACATTTTTTTAAAGCGATTCTGTAGCACACAGATGTACTATTTGAAAATTTAAGATTTGTATTTATAACCTCTCCATATGTTTGAAGTGATTCATTGAAATTGTAAATTGCAAATAAATACGTTATTAGACTATCAACTCGTATAGATTTTATAATTCTATTTTTAGTAATAACATTTAAATTTAAACTTCAACTGAATAATGTATCTTTGAACTGTAGTTTTTGACACACATTGTTAAGGTAGTTAAATGTTGTAAGAATGTGATTTTATAAATTAAATTTTTTATTAAAACAAAATACAAATTTCCATAGAAGTACAGAATTTTCTTAAAACAAGTTTATAATATATAATTTTTTATATTACAGGTGATGAGATGTTCTCAGACACCTACAAAATAAAACTGATTGACGATGTTATGTATGAAGTATATGGCAAGGTATAAACTTAAACATTATTTTTCAATCTATATTAAATTAGAAGTTCAATATATATTAATTGTATTTGTTTTTTTTAATAATTAGTTAGTTTCTCGTAAAGCTGGAGAGATAGAAATTGCTGGATTTAATCCATCTGCAGAAGAAGCTGATGAAGGCACAGACGAATCTGTAGAAACAGGCGTTGATGTTGTTCTAAATCACAGACTTCAAGAAACTTTTGCATTTGGTGACAAAAAGTCATATACCCTCTATCTGAAAGATTATATGAAGAAGTAAGTATCTAAGTTGGTGTAATAATCGAATCTGTTAAAGAACAACTTCACTAATAATTAAATATTTTGCTAGATTAGTTGCAAGGTTGGAAGAGAAAGCTCCTGATCAGGTGGAAGTATTCAAAACAAACACGAATAAAGTTATGAAGGACGTATTAAGTCGTTTTAAGGACTTGCAGTTCTTCACTGGTGAATCTATGGACATTGATGGCATTGTCGCAATAATGGAATATCGCGATATCGACGGTGATTCTGTGCCTGTACTCATGTTATTCAAACACGGTCTTGAAGAAGAAAAGTTTTAAATAATTCTAGATATTCAACAAATTGCAAAAAAAAATATTGTGAGTTTTCCATTTATTATTTTCATATGTATACATGTTTATTCATGCTTTATACCATATTCACCTGTATTTAGCATTGCACAAACATGTAAGATAAAAGTGGTAATAAGATTCCCGCTGTGGCTTACTTATCGAACATAGCGTCTATTTTATCCAGACATTTTAATAAGGAATTTAATTGTTACATGCACGAACTATCCAACGAAATATTCAATTAATTTTTGTATGTTTTTCAGATAAACTGAAATCAAGACTGTACACATGCTGGAAAGCTGTGAAATTTAGTTGAAGGGAAACACGATACTACTTCCAATCTCATTTTATAATGCAATTAACTTATTTTCTTTCCCAAAAAAAAAAAAAAAAAAACTAATCAGTAACGGACTCAAAGAAAGTAATATTTGTACATATAATGTATCTGAATAGATAATCTCAGACACGATATTCCTTCGATGTATCTGTATTTAAATCATTGTGGTGATTGTAAGATTATTTTATATCGTTTTTTTTTTATTCAATACCGTTAAACCATTTTATTTATGATTGAGAAATGGAAGATGGGGAAAGACCTTTGCAGCAATGAAACTACAATGCCTATAATTATCGTTAACATCAGGAAACGTCAGTGAATAATAAGTATAACAGAAACAACATACTCTGTATAACGTCTCACACGAATAAAAAGTGTTTTCATAAGTACTGCTCACTATCCGCGTTTTTATTTCGAGGTGTTGTGACAACCACGAGTTATTGAATTTCTTTTTATAAGTGCAGAGCTCAACAAATAATATAGTTTACAAAATTCAATTACCTTTTATTACCTAATTAATCGTGCTAATAATGACCACAGTTTCAAACTCCTAACCAAGTATATATTAATAAAAGCAAAATGGTAAATTAAATGCAAAAATTGTGTATGATTATTTCGAACTCAAGTGGCAGTTATGGAATGCAATAAGTAAAATGAACATATTTTTCGCTTCATAAAAATATTATATTCAGATAAGTCAGAATAGACGATTTATCTCTTGGCGCAAGACCGTACATCATATTTCTTTAATCAAGGATTGTTATTAGCCACACTGCTTTAGATATACAATACATTCATGGTATGACTTGTTCGCGTCTCCTTCAATACAACCTTTCCCTCGGCCACTGTCATTCCATCTTACACACTTCTTCTATGCCTATATAATTTATATACCCTTTATCGTCATACATCGTCTTGTGAATATATTACTCTTATTCTTTATAAAACAGTTACCAACTGAATGCAGAATTCGATATTTTAATATCATTTTTCGTATCTTTACTTGAAACAATATCATGTTTATACACACGAAAGCATTCCATAAAAGTCGTAATTTACATATACCTGTATCCATCCATATATGTATACATATACTTAGCAAATAGAACTACACAGATACGCTGACTATATTCCTTCAATAAACGTGAAACGATAGTTACAGCTTAAAGATAATAAAAGATGGATTGAAAATGTACACGCCATGTGTTGTATATTGTATGCACATGTGGACAATGTATATATGTAATTATTTTAATTACTGAGCACACCACATAATTTTATCGGTACTACGGCAGTTTAACATGAATTAATATAAATTCGAATTACTACATGAATTAACATCGATGTAAAACAATAAAAAAACAATGGCATTTACTATTACCTGGTAAAATTAACAACATTAAAACACAGATTAATATTTCCAAAAAGACATTTTTAAGCTGTGAACACAATTCAAGTATTTCTGAAACGGAATATTACGTTAGACACCTATATAACCACGTACTTGATTACTTTGTTTCCGAATATTAATGTTCCATTTTGTTTAGTAACATTCTTACAACTACAAGTCTTGCGCAACGGTGATTCGTTAATTTACAATCAAATTATACAAAACCTACAGAATAAAATGGTACAATAATTTTAATGAAAATTATTTTTTTCAATGCGGGGGGAAGAGAAACTAAATACGGAATATTGAGCCATGCTAATATTCCAAAACATAATTAATTGTAATGGCAGTCGTGTGAGTTAATTTGTTATTGATGTAGCATTAATAGATACATATATATAGTTTATGACATTTATACACACAGAAGGATTTAGTACTCTGGCTTTTAGGTTATTTTATCGAAGGTACGGTATGTAGTAGAACACCAGCTACTGTTTAAGTGGAACGTACCTTAAATTTTTAGTAAAGTCAAACAGTTATTTTAGTCGTTATTACTATTAATATTAAACTTATTTGTACTGATATCTATAGAGAACGGGTGCGTAAAACACTTTCGGTACTACTACGAAAATTAATCGAATTAGCTGCTAACAAATTTCGATTCAACGATACCGATGATATTTATTTAAATTAAGGAGAAAATCTAACGATATATATTATCGAATATGTTAATCACACGTCACTGCATGTTTGAACAATTATACACATGTATATGAAGAATGATGAATTTTATAAATACCAAACAAAGTTTTCTTCTTTACTTCATTATGCATGACTGTACAGAATGTTTACAACGCACCACGTTCTTTCATTCTAGGACACTGTTACTAAGTAAAACATCACTACATACAATTTGAGCATCGTACCATTTCTATGATAGTTCAAGGAGGTATGGCAAAAGCATCGAGTTTACATCAATTATAATAGTATACAGTTCACTGTTTTTGAATATTGCTTCTTATAGAAGCATGCTGTTATTTAACAGGTTGTAACACATTCTAGAATCCACTCTCCTAAATCCTCTTACCTTAATCAATGTTTGATCATAGAACATTTCTTAATTCTGCCATTATCTTTATTATTCTACTGACTACTACTGAGGTTCTCATTATTATTTGTGAAAGAGTTCTGTCTATATATTCATATATTATTTGTATGTATAGATATCATCATTTTAACATTTATATATTTATATGAAACTTCATTCACAGGTAGCAAGCATTCACGCCCTCCATTCCTAATGGTCTTTCACTGCTTATTTTCTTTTATTAATTACATGTATTGAGGAATTAGATGAGGTGACCGCAAAAATGCGTTTTGTTCAGAGGTAATTTTGGTCAAGATGTATTTTTGAAGTGAATATAAAGAAAACAGAACATTACGACAAAGGAAATAGATTACAAAATTGTGATAAAGTTTTCCTATTATTTTATAAATATATATAAATTGCGTTATTTGGTTTGCATTTGTCACAAATTATTTAAAATCGTGCTAATTGAGTAGAGTAATATTCAAGGTTCATCATTATCATTCCATATAAGAACACTAAAAAATAATATAGCAGGCGTCTGAAATGAACAGCAACTCCAGTATGTTACCAAAAAAAAATCGGAAATTTAATATTGTGTTTCTCTCATGGTATGCATAACATTAAAAACTCTCATCAAATAGATAACAATAACCAACAACTAACAATCGTAAGCATTCACGCAAAAATAGAAATATGTTTAATAATATTTAATATTATCATAATTTATATTATCGAAGTAAGTATGATCATTTCTTACGATTTCTAGGGTACTATAGTAATTTATGTAGATGACTAAAACTGAAGGATGTTAAGATAAATTTTTTTTCGTAAAATTTACAATCGAAATAAAATAAAGATAAATATATATCTTTCGAGATATTTTACAAAAAAATGTATAAATAAATTTCTATAAATTTCCGAATTAATGCACTAAGATCAGGACAACGAGATTATAAAATACATATTCCACTAATTTCATAACCTTAAACTAAATCGAAGATTAAAATATAAAATTTGGAATTTATTGCAACCGACTCAGGTCAATAATTATCTAGTTAAAAATATAATCTTTAAAAAACAAGATTAAAATTTTTCATTACTCTCTCTCTCTCTATATATATATATATATAAAGACTACAAATATAATAAAAATAGAATTAAAATAGATGCTTACAGTGCATAAAATTATTATTTTCTTACATCCTTCAGTTGAAATCATAAAAGAGTTCTGTAAATTTCTAACAACGACAGTAAAGTATCTATCTTAGCTCTGTCCTTGATCAGTTAATTCCTATGTGTCTAGATTTAAAGGATAACCATACATCTTGCAAGTATCTCTTTGAAATTTTAGGAATTCCTATATCTCGTAGCGCGTCGAACATTTCCAAAAGAAAAGAAAATTTTTGCGTTAGGCAATAAACTATCGAGAAACATTTACACCTTATTTGCCGTTATACATAGCACTGTAAAATTACAATCAGAGACAAAAGGCAGAAAACTTGGTACGAAAAACTGTGTATCTAATTGAAATTTTCATGAGAATTTGCTCTACCAAAAGTGAAAATCTCTCTCAATGTAAAAGTCTTTACATTCGAATATCTCAATAACGTGTCAATGATCCTTAACGTCTCGATGACGTTGTTTTGATATTTTATTACAGACATAAGCTGTATATATTAAGCTTAATATATATGTAAAAAAAGAACTATTATAACATATTCAATTAATAATGAATTAGTAAGTTTATCTCTTTCTATATTCTAAAATACAAAACAATAAATTATCGTAGTGCACACGTGTAAAACGCATTCATTTATGCAAGTATGTATATTATCTATATGCAATCGTGGCTCTTCCAAGTGACGATCCGAATCGAGGCAGAGTTGGAATGTAAAAATACCCGAGAACTTATGCATAGATTGCGCCCACGTCGAAGATGATGCAAAAGAGGATCGTCGCCCGGCGATTCGTAAAACTATTTTGAAAGACTTGAGAAGCAATGAGGACTGACTCGTTGGCGGAGGGACAACATGTGAATGACAACAAGAAACGAAACGTGAGTGTCTTAGGAACTTCCATGGCTGCAGGGGGCGCAGTGGGATCGACGTAGACGCAATCGAAACCCGTGCTAATCGAAGATCGCTAATTCAGTGACGAGGTTACACGTCTACGGGGAACTTTGCTCGGACGATGGCATGACAGACGTGTCACAAACTTTCAACGCTAAAAAGCTCTAGCAACACCACTGTTATTTCTATCCGAGTGCATCGTTGCGACTTCCGCCGTGCTCTCGATACGAATCGAACGAAAGACTGCCTCCTTACGTCGAACAAGAACCGTTAATAAAGTCATAAATAAGAAAGTGAGAAGGGAAATGTAAGTAAATTCCATCTCGCTGCTCGACGTGAGAATGCCTTGTATGGAGGCGTCGGTAATCGGCGAAGATTCTTTACGTTTACCTTGAATGTTGTATTTTTGTCGTTTTTTTCTTTTCTCATTTTTTTGTTTATGCATACGTATCCTTGTTCTCTCACAGATCGGTGTGCCCCAGAACGCGGCACACCGTTTGCTCCTAAGGATCTGATCGCGATTCTAGCATCTCCACGAGGAAATCGTCGATAGGCACGTCGCCGATCATCTTGAAGAAGAATAAGTGCTCCAGGCATTTTAGTCCGATCGACCGGATGGAAGGCAAGCGCAACAATAATTTCGCGAATCTGCCAGCGTCGTCAGGCCAAGCCACGCGACAGTATCCTTCCAAGGCTGCGTAAATCTTCTCGCGAAGCAGAGTCACTTCCTGGACGGACTTTAGTCCTCGGACCTCCGGATTGAAGAGAATGATGGACCTGCGTACAACCAACGGTTTTTTTTTTGTTTTTTTTTTGTTTTTAAATACCTGGGAATACACAAAAATTCACTAGCCATCTCGAATTGCTGCCGTATAATCGGTTACTGACCTCAGACAACCAAGCTCAGTCCTGTCCATTTTCATCTCGCGCATTTTCGAGACGAGCTCCGAAAGCACTCTGTCGAATATCGTGCCCACGCCAGCCTGGTGCGCCGTGTTTCGTTGAACGGTCATACCTGTCGCCAAAACAATGCCGTCCTTCACGTCGATGGAACGATGAGAGAAGGAGGCTATCAACAGTTCGTTCCATCCAGCCCTGAGTAGAAGTACCTGATCCTCCAGTGGTAACGACGTAAAATGTGGGATATGTTTCGCCCATGCTACCAGCTGGAACAGCTGTTTGTTCGTGGCGTTGCAAATGTGCGACACTGCGTTCTGTGTATCGCCAAGAGATGTCAAATTAATTGAACAAAGTATTTCGTGGAACAGCACAACACTCGACGAAACCGTCGCGTCGCTCATAACGCGGATGTCATCGAGACTTTTGTTCGAATATTTACCTCGTAATTTCCTTGCTGTTCCATCTTGCATTCGACTCGTTTCTCAGCCTCCAGGATTCGTTCGATCGGCATGTCCGAGTGTAAACTGCTCGTGCTCTCCACCTCGCTCTGATCCCGCTCCTTGGTGCGCTGACGTTCCTCCTGGACCGCCTCCCTTTTCATACCCATAGCCAAGCATTTCTGGTATCTGCAATACTGACAACGATTTCTCTGCCTCTTGTCGATGATGCAGGACTTCTCCTCGCGGCACGCGTACGAGAGGTCCTTGCGAACGGTCCTCTTGAAGAATCCCTTACAGCCCTCGCAGCTAGAAGAACGTTAAGCTCTGTTAAATACCTCGTAAATGTTTGTTTTTTAAATTAAAACGCGATAAAGACGAGGGTATCAACCTAAGATCGCTAAGATCGATAAGGTCGTGTATCAACAGCGACGGAAAGTGAATCACCAAAGAGCAGACGCCGACTCGTATTTCGCAAAGACGTCCAATCCGACCATTGGCACCGTTTTATTTTTCCTCTTTCGTTCGTTCTGTTTGACTAGCTCAGGATTTGTCGAATAAAGTGCCATCGGTTTACGGTTGCGCTGCCGCCGTAATCCACGCCTCTTCGGAGGCATTGTCGCCAAGACAAACGAGAAATGCCTCGCATGCAACTCAATCCACCGAAACTAATGGGGAACTGTTTACGTTTCGAAACGACAATTACGATCCAATAATTTCAGCTCTCTCTACACAAGACAATTAACTTTCCATCAGAAGGTGTACTATTACTTTGGACCAAACAGTCTTCTCTATTATTGGGTCAAGTAAAATAGATTTTCTGCGAGCCAAATAAAATAAAATATTTTCCACGGTCCAAGTAAAACAAAATAATATTTTCTGCAAGCTGAATTTTCGCGCCAACTTGGAACCAAAATGTTATAGTAGTCTCCAAAGAAGGCACGGAACCCTTGCTTATCTCTCCATAAAGAAAGTCGTGCAATAAAGGGAAAAGGACGTTAAACGAAGTCAGTCCATCGACTATTTCCACATTCTGCAATCGTTAAGGCACCGACGGCCCAGCGTTTTCGGAGCCTTCGTTTTTAAAATTGGAACCACTCCAGAAATCCCGCCGTGGCCAGAGAAGCGACGACATTCCGCGAGGAAATTATTTTTGGTCCAGTCATTCCGTGTATTTTCGCGATGGTTTAGTGCGACCAATTTCATATTCCTTTCTCCTGTTTTCACTTGTGCGACAACATCAAGTGGAATCGCTCTTGTACGTTTTGGTTTCGAGAACAGCGATCGACGAGGAGAAGAGAAACGACGCGATGCTGAAAATCCCATGGATTTCGTCGATCCTACTGAATTTTCGCGAATCACGAAAGCGTTGCGATGCGGGTTGACGAGAACTCGCCACAAAATCCGGTAGATCGTGGCGTCGCAACGCGGAACAATAGACGAACACATTCATCTTCCGTTTTCGATGTTGCAACGTGCGAGGAAAGCGATTGCGAACAAAAAGTTTCGACGTTTTATCGATAGTTTTAACAATAATAAATTTTCTTCCACTGACGTCAATTTTCGGTAGCGTCTATTTTCATTTAAATTCGCGTCGAAATCAACGGTGATTTAAACCATCGATACGGTCGAGGTTCTCGAAACGTGCAGACAAGGCACGTGACTAAATCTCTGGACCACCGCGGTGGAAGTCGTTTGATCTCTGCGAGTTTACTCGAAAGACAAATCTGTCTGACGGGAGACACGCGTGAAGGTGTCTTCGTTCCGCGAAGCCAAGTTTTCCTATCGAATCGTGGAAATGCTTCTCGATGTCTGTTTAAATTCCACGACGCAGCTGGGATCTATTCCCGTTGTCCTGTTCCATAAATTCTGCTTTAGAGTAGAATGGCGTTAGAGATAGAGGAAATAGAGAGGGATTCCACCTGCGAGGAACGAAACGAGACAGTTTCTTCTCGAGGTGACGCCATGCATCTGAGACGGCGTGCGAGCCCAGACCCTGATAATGGCCGTGATTGCTTAATTAGCTGCCACTGGAGCAAAGTGGCTTCACGACCAAGACGCGCAGCTTGTCTCTCTCTTCCCCTAGTAGGAACTACGGTTGGCTAGTCGTCCTAACCTCACGAGCCGCAACTAGCAGCAAGTCCAAGGTTGCCCTGATGCTCTGATGCAACACGCACAAGGCATTATCGGTTGGATGGTTCTGCGAGCCAAAGTGGGGAACGTCCGATACTAACAGAGGGCAAATAATGGGGCACTCGGACGCGCATGAACCTTTATGGACGATTCTAATGAATAAATTGCACGGATACTAATATTTGAAATACTATTTTTAAGTATGAACATGGAGAGTATCGTAATAGAGCCAATGGTAGATACTAATAGAGTAGCAAAGACAGAGATTTTGCAGAGATAAATATGATTAAGCTTCACCTAATATAGGTACATCTAATAGAGGTAGATTTGCTTGAAATCGCACTCCATGTCTCGGGGTATCTTCCCAGAAGACTAACGTCCTCATCCTCGCTTTCGTCGTTACTGTGCGCGGAATTTACGCGAGATCGGGAAGTCGTTGGAAGTTTAATTGGATAAGTTGGCCGTTTGGAAACACGATTGATCTGTTGTTCAAGACACGTCCAAGAGATGAAAATACTAACGAGGTTGTAGTAAACGTCTCTAATCTGTTCTAGAGACGAACAAGAATACGTGGGCGAGTTTATCGATCTTATTTACTTGTACAGCGAAAAATTAAATGTCAACGTTGAAGCATCCCTGGGAGCGTATCAGCTCGAGCCTTTTACATTGGAAAACAAAGCAAACACTGTTGGAAACTTGTATAAGCTCGTGTTTTCACGAGACAAGAGCTTAACGCTTCGACAACTTCGACGATACGTCCTTTTTATACGGATCGATCCAATGTCATATCCATAGAAATGCACGCGTATAGTTACCGAACGCGACTGAACAATACCAATCGATTCTTTCTGCAAGTATTTGTCCGCCCAATATGTCTCCTGCTAACCGAACATTAGACGATTAAGAACTCGTTATCGATGTTTCCATGTAATAGACGTCATCGACCTGTTAAGTCCCGCACATTGCATACAATTAATTTGCGAAACTACAATGGACTGTACTCGATACAATTCGACGTAGGAAAGCGTGTTTCAAAAATTGTCCTGTTTTAATTCGTTGCTATTTTACATCTCTTTTGACGATGACGCGAAGCAAAGGATTCGTAATTGTATCATCGACTTTCTTCGAGGCGCGTTTAAAGTCAATTGTCTGTCGCGCCAGTTGGTTCGACGACATTTTTATTATTCCTTCTGAGCAGGTTCGACGCACGATGATTATGCAAACGCAACATCGTTGCATGTGTACGTCGATGCTCGTTTTTCGTATGCGTGCGACGAAGTTATTAGCCAACGTTTGATCAACGGCTAAGTCGGTGCAGGACGGTGTCGATGGAGAAATTTACGATACCGCGACGAGTTTTTACGACGGGGAAGAACCGTCGCTGAATATACTTACGTATATATGTAATCGTTTGGCTTATTGCCATACCTAGGCGATACAGATGCTGTCCAAATGGTGCACCGAGGAACGAAAATATTTAAACATCAGAGTATGTGTCTTTATGTATACCGTGTACCTTACGACTGGAGATTATCTCCAATGCAGTTTATTTCTCTCATCCTCGTTAAGATTAAGTCAATCCGTTTGAATTGTGTTTGCGATACGAAATGTAAGAGTGGGTCAAAGGTTGCGATAATTAAAAAAAGAAAAGAAGAAAAGAAGAATAAACTTTCATCGTTGCAACGGGGACGCGTATCGCAACGTGTACGTTATAGGTAACACAACGCTGTGCCGAGTACGTTCTAAAATTACTGGTATCGCGGGTCGGGATTATCGAGCAAATTCGAGAACCTTGGACAGCCAGCCAACGAATGTCGGTTTGGTGCCTTCTTTGAGTATGTAATTCTCGAAATAATGATAATCCGTTGTATCCGAAAGCTTATCGAAACGAATGGTTCGTGTTGGAAAAATGTATTAAAAAGTATGTTTGGCTTACCTATAGACGCCGTAGTGCTTGCCGCTGGCGCGGTCTCCGCAGATCGAGCAAAGGTGCTTGCTACCAGAAAGAGGGTGGTTCGGCGGGTATGGTGCCACTGCTTTGTTCTGGCCACTCGGCGACGTGCTCAGAAGGTTGCTGTGACAACCAGCGTTGAAGGATCTTACATGCAAAGAAGAGAATAACAAAAACTCGACCTACGAAACTACTGCCCTGAATCGGGCAAAATACTGTGTACAAGTTCGTGGAGTTTCACTCTAAGCTTTAGAGTTCCAATGTGCTATATCAATTTTTACAAATATCGTAAGTATTATTTTTTTTTTTTTTTTTTTTTTTTATTTTAAGTAACGCATTGAATATCTCGTATATTACAACCCAGCAATGAATCTGTCAAGTGTAAAGCGTGGAAGTATTTTGTCCAGTTTCTACGAAGGGGGGACACTACACCCGATGGTATACCCTCTCGATTTACGACGTCTGTTGCCAGAATACCGCTTCTTCGTATCCGTCGAATCGATTCGACCGCGTTACAGTACATTTCAGCGTCGTCCAATAACACTGTTCGACTACTACGCTTTTCTTTATAAAGTATTTAGTTAATTTTGGCGACACTTACCCTGGACTGTTGGGACCGGAGGGACTGAAGTTTCCGGGACTGATAAGACTCGCTGTATCGGGCTTCATGTCGAGAGGACTCTGCGGACCCACCGAAGACATGGACATGTTACTGTTATCCAGACTTAACCCTAGAAAACAAAATTTGTTCCTAGTTAGAAAAAGAAGTTGACATCGGATCGTATACAATTTTCATTTCGTATTTCAATGATACAAGTTTAATCGCCGGTGTTGTAGACAGGAAAATGCTATCTCCACAGATGCAAATCAGATGAAATCTGAATTACAAATTTTAGGTACTCGACAGAACGACAACCTACCATTAAAATGTCACGAAAATTAACACACGCGTACAGGGTACCATTCTTCGTATCTCGAATACAGTTGCCATTTATCACGCTTTTCAAATTTACGCTTTCATCCATTTACATTTCCAACGCCACTTTCAGCGTCGTCCTTTTACTTTTAACCTCGGGCGATCGCGATTCCCATCATCGTCCGATGAAGAGTGGCGTGTATCGTCTATTGCAAAGTGCAACGATGTTAATTACGGCTACAATAGTCCAAGGAGTCAGTCGCGACGGTTTACAGTTATACAAAATTGTAGCAAGAAACCTCAGCATAATAAGACAACAAGGATCGATAATCTATTTTTTTTTCCATCTGTTTTTCTGTATTCGGTATTAGCAGAATAAATACATCGCGGATTCGTGCCGTGACGCGCGGAGGGAATGACGACGACAAGATAAATGACAATGAACGAATGGGAGAAGGGGTGTTATCGTTGAAGATGAAGGAGACCCAGAGAGAGTTAGGGAGAGCCGGATGATCCGCTAAGGACACCGTCAAGTGTATCGGTAATTGCACAACTAACGTCATACTCCCTTCTCTCCCCGTTTCGCTTCTCGCTTCTTGCTTCTCGCTATTCGCTTCTCGTCATTTTCAGCGTTTTTTCGTTTCTCTCATGAGCAGATCAATGTCATCGCGAGGAGACGCATCACAGGCTGACAAATGCGCAGCAGGCACATTGGAATTTATCGTAGGCTCAACAAACGGGCTTCTGCTAGTTCACGATTCCAAGGCACATTTTTTTAACTACAGCGATACCAATCGTTCCTCTATCGCCCTTCTCTTATCATATCTCTTAAAAAAGATATTTTCTATTAGAAAAACCTTGACGCGTCGACTGTCACAGTGTCATTGGATGAACCGATCCGCTTATCATCGCATAGGTACCAGATAAGTGGTACCTTCCTTCTTAACCGATACATATATCGATTCTTCATTCTGCCTTTGAACTGGTTTTAGTTCGAAATTTCGACCGTCAAAAACTTGACGAGTTCTGCATCAGATGTGGCAGCTTTTTTATTCGTGCTGTTACTAAAAGGAGTCCAAGCACGCGCAAGTCTAATCACTCCTGAAAAGGTTAAACGATACGTGGCACGATGACATCGAGCGTTCATCAGCCGCGCTTTTTTCCGTGAAACATATAATTACGTCGAGGCCGTCACTTCGGCGAGCAGCGACTTCTATTTCGAGTGTTAGGGTCGCTCGATTGCGTGTCTCTCATCGCCGCCGCTTATTAAGCGTTGCGCCGTCGCTTTAATTACGCAACGAGCGTGCAAAGCGGACCGAAGGTCGTCGACAGACTGCAAAAGGCTTTTGCATCTGCAGCGGCGAGCACCGAAATGCATTCTTGGATAAACATCCTCCTAGCCGACAGCGCGAAAACGAACAAAGTCCTCTCGCTCGCGTCGACGGCTGCGGGACAAACGTTCGGAGCTAACAGCGCCTTTCCAAGAGATTGGTCGTTGCCATTATTACGATAATGCTATATGTACGAGGAAAATGCCAACATGTTTCAATGTTCCGTTTGTAACTCTTAACTACTCGTGCTGGATCATGTTTGACTCGAGAGAAATCCTTAAAAAATAACCCTCTCCCACATCAAGCGTCCATCTATCTAAACTTAATTTTATCTTAAAATGGAAAGTCACCAGGATTTCTCGGAAAGCTATACAAAGACCAATGTACGCGGAAACGAGCGTCATTGGCTACGCGTAGACGCGTTGAGTTTCGGTTCAAAGAGACCAAGTTGTGGACGCAGCTTTAACCGTATCAAAAGGGGCGAGAGGCGATGTGGACGAGGACGCGAGAGTGGCTGCAAGGCCAAGTCCGGTGATGGTATATTATGCCGGCAGTGTCGGACACCTTGACCAGGCGCAAACAAGCCGGTGCAATGTTCGAAACTGTGCGCAACGCAACTGTATCAAGACATCTACGCATGCAATTACTTGGCAAACCGTCTATCTCCAAGATCGCAGATTCCACGTTCTTGGCTCAAACAAGGACATAGTTTTACGAGGAAGAGCATAACCTTAGGAACTATGATATGATTAATTTAGGATATAGAGCTCAAGGTTCTCGAAGCCTGTTATCCCGCGGACATTAGTTTATCCTACAGTTGCCTTAGGCTAACTCCAACGAGTCGTTGTAAAGATATCGAGAACCCTACCTACCGATCCTGAAATGGTCAAACGATTCGAATGTTCACCGAATCGTTACTCCAACTTCTGACCGCTTCCTCTCGCATACACGTCAAAGAAAAACAGTTTTACGTATAACAGTATCCATGTTGCATGCACGACTGGGAAGAAGAATGAATTATGCAGGGGGACACTGGAGGAAACAGGAGGCGAGGAAGAAAAAGAGAAAGAGGGCGAATGACACGGGAAAGGGGAGAAAAGAGGAGAAAACGAACTGACCTACGGCAACAACGAGTCAAGTGCGTTGGCTTTTGAATATTTAAAAGATATTCGCCTTAGCGAGTGAACCGACCCGACCGAGCGAATCGATCGCGGACAACGTAAAGGCGAACCACCCGAACCTGATTTTCAAGGGCAGAAGCCAGTGTGGAATTGGGAATGGTCATGTATTGCACCGGAGTATCGATCCTGTTACCGTGGTGCTGACAAACCCGCTCGAGGGTTCTGTTTATTCCACTTGACAATTCTGGGGGATGCGCTACTGCGACTCTACCACCACCGAGATGAAAGTGCCGGACGCGAAATTTGTTCACCGTTCAAATTTCGCTACGTCGATGAAAAATTTGCCATTTCAGTTTATCACCCTTACGAACATCATTTACTCCGAGGGATATCGTTTGCTATACGCACGCTCCGCTATCATCTTATCGCGAATTCTGCTTAGCGCGAGGAAACTAGCACGTACGTATATCGTGACTTTCAGGCGTCTCTTTTTCAAGGTCCAGAAATATTAAGCGTTATAGAAACATCTGCAGCGTAAGGGGATCTGTTTTCGGTGAATTTTTCGCGAACGAAACCCGAGACAGGAAAGAATAGAAGGGGAGAAGGTAATATTGCAGATGTAAAGGTCGACAAGGGGATAATAACAGAGCGTAGGCGGTGGATACGATGGAAGGGAAGAGCCGTCGTTATTAAAAAGAAGTATAACGGATAGTATCGTGTTTCATAACTGTTCCGCGGAACCATTAATAAATATTCCGTGAACTCTTGCATCCAGACTTGGATACGTCAGCCATAAAGTATAAAAGCCTATCACGATACATTGTCCATCACCGCTGCTTGGTATATCGAACATTCTCGATATAGAGCAACGAGAACGATAATTGTTACAACATCGACATTGAACTTTTTCATTCAACGGCAATTTTTTGTTTCTCCAACCCCGGTCTACTCCCCGTAATCTTAATAGAGCAACAACGTCTAGAGTCTAGAAAATCAGATGTAACTTTCAGTCTCGGTGTTTATATCATGCTTCGAGAATCGCATCCTAGGCAACTTAGCAAGAATAATCAAAAGGATCATCGAATCGAAATTTACACGAACGCGAAACAACGATTCCGAACGTTTCGATGTCGTGCGATATCGCGAAACTATCCTCGAACCATGGAAGAAGATGAATATTTATGTTGCAAAAAGCGTCGAGAACCTTGGAAACGGCAATAAACCGTTTCGATGCTCCGTTTCGTTGCATTCCACGTTCACAGAATGGAAACCCCATGAAGAACCAGCCACGGTGAACTAATAATCCAATATATGATATTATTTTACGAGATTTACTTTAGGGTTGAAAAAATGGCGGTCGATAATAATACTCGTAATGTTAATGTCGCAATTTAACGTAACACAGTAACACGAACAAGTCATTACCATAGAAATGATCACGAATAACGACTGAAACGTATCTGTTTTCCTTCGCATCGAAACCCTCAAAATTGATCTTCCCACAGTTTACTCTGTACAGCGTCGAGCTCGTGCAGCAGTATCGTAAATGAGTAACGCAAAATGCGAAAACGCGGTGCTCGTCGGCCAACGCTAACTTTAGATTCGTGTAAACGTGTAAGCGATGAATTAAGCAAATAACTCGACACGCGCTGGGTACATATCGCATACAGGGCGTTTCATAACGAGTGCAAACGTAAACTATATAAAAATCAACTCGACTCTGGATTTATTCGAATAATCCAGATGTCTGATAGTATACAGCGATGTTTAATGACGGTGAGATCGTTGCGAAATGATTTTTCAGTCATTATTCTATACCAAAGGTCCGAGGTTTGTGACGTCACCGTCTGACGATTTGAACGCTCTTCCGAAACTGAAAACCAGTTTCCCGCGCGGCGGACCACTTGTGCAAGCGCCTTGAGCGCATCGTGGACGCTGCAACACGCCAGCAACACTGCAACAGCCCCTCGAGACCGTAAATTCGCTATGAATTCCCCTCTTCGTCGAGCCAGCTACCCCGTAAATTGTCGAATACCGTCGACTGTTTACGATAAAAGGCACACGCGATGGGGAATGTGCTTATTGGTTACTTGCATACTTCTGATCCTCCAGAAGACGCCAAGACTCCTCGCGACATCCGACCGATAACGTTCGCTTTTCATAGATGTGTACGTAACTTGTTTGCCATCCAAAAGAATTCCCAGGTACATCAGCCTTTTCGGTTTTCGAGGTATTCCTCGTTAATCACTCTAATTGGAATTGAAATGTCCGCGACTCGACCCATTTCCGGCGAACGAATTGTCCCATCAGGCACCCTCGTGGTTCGCGAATTAACGATTTCGCCGCACGCCAATGGGACAACA